TGCGATTAATGTACCTGCAGTGCCTTGACGACGACGACGACGACGACGACCTGCTGCAGTCAGTTAAATGCACGAATCAGCGTGTACACATATTACTATATAATATTCAGGTTATTTGACTACGCTTTGCGTGCCACGAAGCAGCCGAGAACATGAGTATCGATTGTGCCTGTGTGTGTGCGCGCTGCATTTCTGCAGTCCCATTACTATTAGCTGCGTTGTGACCGCTAATACTTTGTTTGCCGTATGATTTATCGCACTCTCTGCACTCGCGGGTACGCGCGCTAGCTAGCGGCACATAGTAGTATATCGATGCGGCATAGGGGCCGCCGCCGACGCTTCTCACCGTAATTACGCGTGACACAGTTTAAATTGTTGTGCGTTTGTTATACCGGCAGCGGCAGTCCGACCATACGTTGAACTTACTACTGGACGTGGCATTAAAATATATAGGCACGCGCGCTCTGCAGGCTCGTTTCTTTCGAGCAATGGCTGTTTTTAATTTCTCAAATGAAAATCGATAAATCTTTCCGACCCGTTGACTTATAGAGCGTGAAAAAAGTAATCGAGTAAGTTTCACATTAAATCATAAGCTCTTGCGCGCGCGCCAGTAATCTAACTTTTTTAACGTCAATCAGCGGCTAAGGGGTTCCTGCTTTCTGGTGAAAACTGATCTTCACTATGCCTCGTTCTATCAGCGAACTAATCGATTACGGATAGAACAAAGGAGAAACTTTGAAACTCATCATCAAATGTTTTCGGTTAATTCACGTGCGTTCCGGGATTTTCAATTAATTCCGGCTATGTTCTGCCGCGCGCGCTATCTTCTTTTTGCCATCGCGCACAGTCAAGTTTTTTTATGCACTCGTTGTGCTGCTCCAAGTTACGTGAATAATCTGCGACCAAACTTGCTGCTATAAAGCTTATAAACCATTAGCCCCTCATCCACGAGTATTGGTAAATTTTTAATCTGCAACAAATAACAGATCGAATATTTTTCAGTAAAATAAACAACGACGCGTGTTATTGCATTAACAAATGTAGTCTTGCATGTTTACTCAGTGTGAATTGGCACTTAGCTGGCAGCGCGAGTAGGAGAGTTAATACATGCCTCGTAGTACGTTCGCTTGTTTTATAATGCATCGTCGACGAATGACAACTCAGAACATCGACAGTCGCTGCAGCCACTGCCGTAATTGAAAGTTCATAATGAATGCCATTGAAAACAGGAAGGAGAGTTGTGTGGTTGTTCTCGTTGCGAGCTTTGTAGTGACAATGAGAAATTGATGACGATGTTCGCCGTTTATCAGTATTAGTAAATTAGATATCAAGAGGCATGTTTTTGTCTTTCATAGAAATCAGAACTATACACGCGGATAGATTAAAGCTTCGTGTACATCGCGTGGCTTGAAAATTGAGTAACGTAAAACGTTAATTTATTCTCTGGGACAACGTTGGCGCTCGATGTAAAGTTTGATTTGACCGCCGCAGTGAATCAAAGACTCGAAAGAGTCCACCATTACACGTAACGTATCTACTTGAAATGAATGAAAGAGCAGTCGAAGAAACAGTATTCAAATGTATATCGATCCAGTTGATAAATTAGCGTAACTGAAAATTGCAGAAGCTACAAGCGTGATACGTATATTACGATGTTACGAATGTAAAGTAGATCGGCGCAAACAGTAGAAGTAAATCACCCAGATCGGAGTATCAAAGAGATTGTCGAGCGACAACGACGTCTTTAGATCAGTCGATGTGACATGGAGAAAATAGACTCTATAAAGTTATTTTTGTCATGTAACTCGCGTAATTAACTTACTTGATTTTAAAAGCAAAAGTTTTTTGTACTTTGAAAAATCACATAATGTTTTTTTACAACTAAACTTCTGAAAAAGATAATAACCCATATACATATTGTCTCCAAAAAATGTAAGCCAGCACTAAGTTTAAAAAAGTGCTTCATTTTGGAGAATTTGCCGAATGTTCCCTTGGCAAAAAGAAGGATAATAAAAAAGAATAAAAAATGTATGTGGAATAAAAGTGGAAAAACCAGAAGAATCTCGTACATAAGCGTGGGATTAAGGAGACGAGGGGTTTAATCGGCTTGGTCGACAACTTGTTCGGACTGTCGAAATAAGATTACATCGAATTTGTAGGTCCAAAGGGAGATTGGCTTGCCTCTAATAAGAGCTCTTATACATTTAACGGAATCGACATAATTTTTTCGATATCTTGCGCACACATCCATTTGGTCTTAAATCTCCTGACCGATATTTGAAATTTTTCTCTTAATCGCAAAATTACTTCCCTGATAAATAAATTCAAAATTTTGATCTTAATAATGAACGAGATATGAAACACAATGTAAAAGGACATAAAGGGACAATAACAGTTGACCTAATTGCATGCACGTACGTGCAAAAACATGATTAACATGTAGCATATCCAAAAATCGAGATTGAATCCACCGGGGATAAAGTTAATAAACAAATAATTTTAAAGGTGAACTTTACGTTAACGTAGTTTATTGATCGTATATATTGCCGAGCGTGCTAGATGAAAATCGTGAGAAAAAAGAGTAAATATTCAACGTCAATGATCTCAAGCTCTGCCGGAGCAATCTATACCAGGCGTATAGAGCGTAGCGGAGCACACGCACATATAGTAGAAGTATGAACGCAACGACTGCACGCACGAACTCGTCTCTGTGCATGCTAAGCTGCACTGCTACATTATTGGAGTTCCTATCTTCGTATACCACCGCCTGTACAAGCATCCATGCGTGCACTTATGCATTATATTATAATGCACAAAAGTGTACATAAAGTAGAATACACGTCTGATTTGCTATTCACGATACTGCGTATTATCATCGGAAAATAATTTAGGACTTTTCCCTTGACAACCGCAAATTGTCACGAAATATCTTGAGAAAAAAATTCAAATTCCACATCGAAATCTTTTGTTAACAAGCATAAAGGTTAAATAATTTATTCTCGTAATTGATACTCTAAATCAACCATCATTTTATGTTTTTTCACAAATGATTAAAGAGTAATCATTTTTAAATAGCAGAATATAGTATTTTTTACAATGTGAACATACGTTGCATCGTTTACATTAAATTTAAATTTTTTTAAAATAAACAATTTACTAGAATTTTACAAACGGTAAAAAAAAATTAATTCATCATGTATATAACTTTGGAGTGACACTTGAAATTCATATGTACCTATACTACTAGATTCAATGAAGATGAATTGACATGATTTTGCAACCGTTTGAAGTGCAGATGTTTGTTTTGCTTACCGCAGTAAATAATTGGTCTGTTAAAGTCGAATCAAGCATTTTCAACATAGTATCGTTTGTCAAGTACTACATGATTATGATTATTTTTCTTGTGTTATTCAATGTATACCTAAAATTATATCATAAGATATTACCGAATGAAAATGTTTGTTATTTTTCATTCTTTTTATATATTTTAAACTGTACTTTCACTGAGTCTATTAAAAATTCAGCATTACTTTTTCCATCTTTTTTACGGATCTCTCATTTAAAGCTTGTTTAAAAATTTAGTTTTAACTCCAATTAGACATTATTTTATCAAAGATTTTCTTTTAACATTTAGACCAAATCATTATACATTCATAAATTCACTTACATCAAAAGACTCGACTTTCTTTATAAGCGAATAAAATCAAAAAAGTATAAAGAAGATAAAAGCCTACGCTTTAACGTAAGAGCCTTGACAAGTACGGGATGTTTTGTAAAGATTTTTCCTGTTTCGGGAACAGAAATGCGCTATACTTTGCGATTGTGTTCTTTCTCTTTTCTCTTTTTTTCCATTCTCAATCTCTGTAGAAACTAGGCTAAGAAGATTGCGAGAAGCTATCAGACTTAATCGGAATTGGAGACTAATCAAATGTAAATATTTCAATTGGATTTCAGAGAGAACTGGTTTTTGCACCTGTATTACTGTACCTTTATAAGTGCCTTTATTAATAACACTCTACGGGACGAGGCAGTTTTCGTTGTCTCCAAAGTAATAGCAGTCTCTTATTTTGATTTCAAATTTCACGAATTTGGATAGAAAAAAAAGCTTGCCTGTGAAATTTTATCGTATAAAATGTTAGAAATAAAATATATAACGATCTATTAATTTATTTTATCAAATTATTCCTAAATTTTCAATATTTTTATCATTTTGTAATGTAAATAAAGCTGTTGTCGTATTACTGTGCTAAGTGTAACTACGCATTGAAAGTTTTCAAAGTTTACTTCTTATTCATTAAATTAATCTTAAACTCGCTAACTCTTACGTACGTTGATTTAATGAATACAGCTACAACTTGAACATCATTAACAAAACATATCGACTTATTTTTTATTACTTATGGGGGATATTTAAAAGATTTTATTTTCATGCAATGAAATTCACCGTTGATTATTCTTACAGTACTCGATGAGACTTAAAGTTTTATAGGTACCTTCAATTGCCACGAGAATTACGTCATAGAATGAACTACCCCGAACCAACAAGAGGGCCTTACCGCATCGAGATTGCGTAATGCGCATTTTTTCTCGCGGCCTTTTTTTATCGCATAATAATATAGCGCGCACATGGTACATATGTGTCGCGTGAACCATTAGAGTTCTCTATGTGCACGCGTTTAATCGGTGCACGTAAGGTATGAGGCACGCGTGTCTGCAGCTATACTATGAGGCCATTCACACCATGACTTTACCTGTACTTTCGCATATAATGAATGCTCACGCGAGACTCCACTTGCCTTGCTTGATTGCCATTTCTTCTTCTTCTGCTGCTGCTGCTGCCGAGGCTTGCCTCGTTCCTTTGAGTTATAATTCGCTTCGGTCTTAAGCCAGAAGACTAGCAAATGTATGTATCGCGTGCGCCACGCAACTCATATTTATACGTACAATGCAACAAGATCGAATTCAAACAATAACAATATGAATTTTGAAATTTTGCTGGATCAAGTTTTTTTAATTATAATTATGTTTGTTACAGACCGCATCTATGAAAAAACTTTTGGTTCTTTTTCATGAGAAATAAAGGTAAGTGTTGTTTCGTATAATTCAGGATTATTAATTTAATTTATTTCATACAATACGATCAATTCAATTGCAAGTCTTCAACTTTCGTTAAACTGCTGAGTAAAATCTTTTCTGTGCTTAGTTGATTGTCTGAAAATTTTCAAAAGGGCTATTAATTAGCTTGAAACTATAATCAAAGGCATCGAAATAACTTTTTTTCACGTTACCAAGCTGATACCAAGTATCGCTGTTTCCAGCATCAGCTCGAGCCGAGTCCAAAGCTTGTCGTATAGCCAACGGAATAGAGCAGCTCATGCACAAAGGTGGCTCGCCAGCAGCTTTGCAAAAAAACACATTCGTTTTAAACTTTTCTAAAGATCGCAAAGAGATAAAGCTTAAGGTATAATGTACTTTTTGAGCTCAAAACTCCGAGAGGATTCGGGGCATTTCGACGAAATGAAACTCGGAAATCGACTGGAATGTCCTTCGCCCCTGGTACTTTATAATTCTGAAAGCAAGTGTTTTTTGATAGTTAAAAATTAAAAAATATAAAATTTCCGAAATGTCTGTAAGTACCCATGTCCTGTAATTAGTTAACCCTCCTGTTTCTGGATCATAAATTAATTCTTCACTGGTCCAGAACCCTATGCCCATTACGAATGCCCCCTCAACTTGTCCAACATCAATCTCAGGGCTTAAACTTACACCAGCATCTTCGAGTATATCGACACGACTTATCACATGTTGGCCAGTCAAGACATCGATTTCGACTTCTGATACCGTGACTCCGTATATCGAATAGTTTTTTACATCTTGTTCAGCATTAAACCTATTGCCAGTTAATTTAATTGAATAATTACTTATCTTTCATTTTAAATGTAAACATCTTACATGAAAGAAGCGCACAGATCGACATTTTTATTATGAGCTGCCATTATCAATTCCTCCCATTTGGGTTTACCACCTAAAGAATCTTTAATGGGTTGCAATCTTTCCAAAAGTATTTTGCATGCTCTAAGTGTTGCCTGTAGAATTAATTAATTCAAATTATCATTTTTCAAAAAATTCCTGCTTGTACTTACATAGCCTAGAGTGTCGCTACCCAAACTGCCACCGGTAACAAAACTGTTGGGTGTTGTCCAACTTATAGATGGCTTAACATTGATCATTTTTAAATCGATTCCCAATATATGAGCAGCTACTTGGGCAACCTAGACAAAAAAATAAGAGAAAACATTATGGAGAAACTTTAAGATTTACGAATCATAACTGACTTTTGTATGGATTCCTTGACCCATTTCAATTCCAGCGTGGGTTATTGAAACCGTTCCATCTCTTGCATAAATCGATACTAAAGAGTGATATTGGCCGAAAATCCAAAGTGGGTATTTCATAGGTACCATTGATATTCCTTTCTTTTTCCACCTATTATTCTAAAAAATACATATAATAGTTTAGAGCTAAAAAACTAACAATGAATTTTACCTGATTATATTCTTTCACGAGTGCTACGCGATTATCATAATCGGAAGTCTTTTTGAGCTCTTCGATCATCGGCACTAAAGCAGTTTTATCTTCTTCATTCATGTTTATGATTCTAACATTTATTGGGTCTTGTTTAGTAATTTTGGCTATTCTATCCATTATTTGTTCCACTGTTGCAATGCCTTCAGTAGATCCTTTGCGTTAAAACCATAAAATATATTATCAATCTTTGTTTTGAGAGAACATTTTGCAACATTTACCAGGCGCTCGGCACCAAGTATTGCCTGGCAAGTTAGTTTTAACATCGAAGCCTTTGATTGACCAGGTAGAAAAATCATAGCAATTGTAAAAATGATGAGCCGTAAGCATCGAATGACTCTCGTTGAAAGAAGCCCCGACATTGCCCCAGTAATTTACGTCCATTTGCTGAATTTTGCCACTGTCATCGGTACTGACTTCGTACTCCATAAACGAGGATGTACGCTTTCCGAGGGCACGCATGTTATCCTCGATCGTTAAGACCATACGCGCCGGTCGATTCAGCTTATGGCAAGCCAAGGCGCAAGCACAAGCGATTTGTGAGGAGCGACTGATTTTCGCTCCGTAAGAGCCTCCTAGTCTACGAACTTTCACATTCACACTTTAAAAGAAGAAATTATTACAATTTTTTAATAGTCGTCGATTGTTTTCACTCCCATTTGAATCAAGTCGGATAATATTATTAATTCAAACCTGTGCATCGGCAGGTTAAGTAATGTTGCTACGTTGGCTTGAATCAAATCCATCCATTGCGTAGCTGGATAAATATTTATGCCATCTTCGACGGGTTCACAAACGCAACTTTGACTTTCCATTGTAAAATGATATTGCGTTCCACATTCGTAAAAACCCTTAAATGTGTGCTTAACATTTGTTCCTAGTTAATGTGAAAAACAATCATAAATAAAAATTTATATTAACAAAATAATAACTTGTTCCTCAGTAAATATTTGTTAATTCGATATGAAATTTTACTTTAAATTTCATGTGAACATAACAAATAAAATTACCAGCTGGCTCTTTAGCTGGCCAATCAACTGCACAATTCATTCGGGTTTTATCATTGCTCGCTATGACATCGTGAACTGTAATCATAGGTTTCTGTCTTGGTCCTTTTGGGTAAACGATTTTTACCAAAGAAGCGGCGTAAAGAGCTACATTTTGATTTTCTGCAACAATCATGCCGTAAGGTTGACCCGCATAAGAAACTTCATTTTCAGCAAAAAGCTGTAATAAATAATTAAAAATGAAATCGATCTCACATTGATTCACTAAATATTAATTTGCATCAATCGTCATTTACGAGTTCATCCTCTTCAAGGAAGAAATATTGATTGACCGAATTAATGTAAGCATTTTTTCCCGGAACATCTTTAGCACAGTAAAAAGCAATGACGCCATTAATGTCCTAGAAATACAATCATTCTCTTTAAATGGTATTTTTATCAATTTTTTAAAATTTCATAAAAGTACCAGTGCTTCTTGGTAATCAATTCGCTCTAAAATGCCTGGAGCTTCTGCTAGGGTTAATGCACAAAAAACTTCATTATTTTTTATCGGTATATCGTTGATATATTCAGCCTCTCCAGATGTTTGATAAAGGGATTCTATTTTTGGTATTGGTTGATTGACAGGCCATATATTACGATCAGTATCAAAATCTTGTCTTCCTGATGATAATCCTCGTTGCAACAAAGTACCACCACTTTTTAATTTTGAGTTGATGGCATTTGAGTTGATAGATAATGCGAACTTGAAAATATTAAAATATATGTTAAAATATTTTACGTTTATTATTTTATATTTTTAAATATTCTGCACCTTATAAAAAAGACATGTTGCCAGAAGTTTTCGGAAATTGGCTTTATAATCTGGCAACACGTAATCGGGTTCTAGCTCTGAATACAGTAATTTCAATCCATTCGATAAGTCGTTATTATTGAACAAATGTTTGCCTATGAAAAATTGTTCTGTTTCGGATGCATGTAACTGAAATTAATGAAAATGGCTAGAATAATTTAATGATAATATTCGTAATCCTATACAATATTCATTTACAAATTCGGGTTTGATTCCTCCAAATAGTATATTAGGCTTTTCCAAAACTTGACCATTATGATCTAACTTGAACAGAAATCCTGCATTTATAATTGCATGTGCATTCTGAGCTCTTGGCATTATCTAGAAACGTTAAAAATTATATTATTATAACTTGTATATCATTCTTTTTTACTTGCATTTTAAATTAAAATTACTTTGTATGATTTATAATGATATTGTTCATCAAGTGCAGGAAGTTCTATACTATACATTAATTTCATATGCATTTTCAACTTCAAAAATTCCACGAAGGTAATGATGTTTTTTAAACTTGGAGAGTCGACTAAAAACAAACATCAATTTTATTAATAGCTTTTTAATGAAGAAGTTGTAAACAATTTTTTAACTGCTTACGAATATGAATTTTTGCTCCAGCAGTTTCAAATATTAAAAAAATATCCGATGGGAATTCGTTATGATGATTTTTCATCATTAAATTTCCACCTATCGTACCAATCTAGTAAGTTAAACGAAAGTTAGTTTTAATGAAATCGTCCAAAAAAAGATTGGCATTACTTACGTTTCTTATTGGTATACTTGCTACTAAATCAATATGTTCAGCCATTTGTTTCAAATACGAAAAATTTTTATCGGTCATAAATTTCTCAAAGGTCGACTTGGCAGTAGAAAGTGAAACATTTGCTCCAAGAGTCAACACCTTTTCATCTTTAACAACCCTGTGTAAATCTTGTACGTCATTAATATCGATGCATACTTGAATATTTTTTGTTCTGTAAACTCCTATTTAAAAGCGAAGTTTCTAATTAATTAAGTAATTATAACTTGATTTACAGAAAAATATTAAAACCTCACCGTGTCCCGTATTTCCACCATTTAATATGTACGACGCTTTAGGGTATTTTTGAAAAATTTCAAATATATCTTTGATATCTAAGACTTTATGAAAAATTACCTCGTGAAATTTTAACTCTAATGATCTGGGAAAACTAGATTGGTAAATAATTTCCATTTTTTCACAACTGTTATTGCATATTTTTTTGGTACATTTTTTACAACCGCTCACATTATACATATCCTAATTTTGAATAATTTACTTTCATAAATATATTAAATGCTAGATGTTTTATGAAATTATTTCGCTAATGAACTTTACCTCAATATCTTGAATTTTTCTCGACGTTGGTGGAGCATCAACGGCGAAACTTTTGAAAGCGTCCAAAATGGGTCTGTAACCGGTGCATCTGCAGATATTACTCGCGAACGAATTCTCGACTTCTTCCATCTTTATTTTTTTATTTTGAATCACACTATAACGAGCGTGAATTATAATACAATAAACAATTTCTCTCGAAGAATGCGAATTCAGGTCAATACCTGTACATGCTCATTACCCAACCCGGCGAACAATAGCCACACTGCGATCCATTCATCCCAGCCAAGGCGGCTTGCAGAGTATGGTATCCCGATTTTTTATTTCCCAATCCTTCGGTAGTCGTTATTTTCCAGCTAAATAAAAATTCCAGCGTTTATTGTGAGAAACGATTGCGTTTTATAAATTATGCAGTGGTATCATTAATTTTACCCGTCGCAGAGCAATACCGGAACTAGACAAGAATTTACTGAAATAATATCTGAATTTCTGATTTGTGCTGCCACAATGCAAGCACCACATCCTCCTTCCAAGCACATAGATTTGGTACCTTTGAGATTAGCTACATCGCGAATGTACACGTTCAGAGATACATACGCTTTTTGATTGCTATGAACTGATATAAGAAAATGTTCTGTAGATTTTCATGGATAAACGAAATAGTCATACATGTTAAAATATTTACCTATGTGCGGAACATCGTTTATTGTGAATTGGATGCTATCGGAACCATCTTTATCAACTTTTTTAGATATCCTATTAATATTTTCATGACATTAATTAGCAATGCAAGTTATTAGAAGTAGTAAATTAACCGCACTCAATATGTTTTATTATAGAATTATTTCAACTTACGATGAATTTGAATGTAAGCTCTCTGTTTGACCCATTTCTTTATATGTAACACTTGCAAACAACTATTTTTGCATCACTGAACCGAAGCGAAAGTCAATCGACTTCGTCGCAAAAACGTTCACGAATGACATCAAATTTTTGTTTTTCTTCAACTACAGTCTACTATAATTACTAGTTTTACGCGTTACTTGCGAAAATATGCTTAAGACTTTGAGACACACGTTCAGTAACTTTTGTTAGCTCATCGTCGTTAATTGCAACTTTAAACGTACTTGGTAATTTTCATTGCTATATAACTGTAAATTGAGATGGAAAATACACTTAGAGATGAAATTTTTATTTGCAATAGCTAATCGACGTCAGTAAAACATACATTTTAAGCTTTAGCAGATGTAAGATGATAAAATAAAAATTTCTGCAAAATATTAAACATGCGAAAACCTTAATGAAAAATATAAAGAACCTTATTTTTTATTTCTCAGTCTCAGGAAGATAAAATATTTTTACACGAGAATTAAGTTTAATGGTGAGCTTTATACGCATCATAAGTGATGTAAAAGTATAATTTATTTATATTTTAAAAGCTACCTAAGTTGTGTATATATAAAGAATCATACGCATACTGCAGAATAATGCCCACTGCAAGTATCATCTAAACATAACAAAATTAATAAAAATATTTGGTGACATATTTTGATCGAGGCATTCGATGTGATTTTTTGGCAGTAGTGTTTGCCACATACAGCCGAAAATTTATTGCTTTTGTAAAACTCAAACTTGTGTTAGCAATTTGGCACTTGTCGACGCTTCGCTCCTTGTGCCGCAGCGACTCATCCATTATTTCCCGAAAATATGCCGCATACCTATAAAGTCTGAACACAAAGTTGATGTATCGGTTGCACATTTCACACAAGTCGCAAAGAAATCAAACGTCAATTGTGAAGTCAGGGCAACATTCATCATCATCGTTTAATCCATAAGTCTATATCTTTTGAAATTGCAGTGCTCGGTAAGGGATTGGTCTTCTAAGTCGCGATTAAATAATATTAGAATGAAACTTAACACGAATCAGGAATTTCATATGTACTTATTTGCAATCAATGTGTCATTAGCTCATATCGCTTATAAGCTTTTTTTGTGCTGATTTGAAACTAAGTGGCAGCCTCGGCGGCCCAGCCATTCATTTTTAAAGAGTTTCTTTGATTTTTTTAGCTTATTTTGGGTGGAGGAAATTTGGATCAGTTACAATCACTTCAAGCGAAGTGTTTGTGACATTACAATCGCACTTCACTTACAGTTAAGTTTGTACAATCTTCAATTACACTTCACGTTTCGCTATCGAGATTATACGTATATTTCTAGTTTTTTAGAGGGCTATAAATAAATTAATAGCCGTAATAATTGAAATTTTTTTTCTTTTCTTATTCTTTTTTTTATTTTAAACCAGATCTTTAAATTTGTGCTTATAACAAGCGAAGAATCTCAACATTCTAATTTTTAATGGAATCTATATACTCACAAAAATCGTAACTTATCATCCGCATGGAGTCCCAGTCTTAAAAAACTGGTCGTTCAAGATCGAACACCATTCACACATGCCTTGACGAGGGGAGGTGGAGGTCGACGCATTCACGATGATTGAAGACCCCGGGTACACCTCGTGTGTGGCGGAGGTGGAACAAGCGCGCTTAAAACTTGAAAAAAAATGACGAGTTGACGAGGGCTATAAAAGACCTACGACCAAGTCGCCTGAGTCATATGATAAAGCCTTTAGACGTAAGACATTATATTTTTTAACACTACTTGCGCGAAACACGGGTTTTCTAACCTTAAAGCGTGAGAAAACCCTAGTTTCTCGCAAGCAGAGTTAAAAAATATCGTGTGCAACTAGTCCGCGAGGAAGTTGATTCACCCAGGAGTCTTTGCACCCTCGCTACGCTCGGGTGAAAACTACTCTTGGATGAGTCAACTGCTTCGCGCACTTGTTACAAAATATACTATAATATAATCGATTATCATATTTTTTGGCCAACGTCTTAGATATAAGAATATAATCATATTATATTCTTTATACTTTAATTGATTGAATTTATACTTTAATTGATACACAAGGTTGTGTTTTTAATTGTTTTATTGCCTAAACTGATTATCTAGTGAACGATAGAAAAATTACACTAGTAATATACACTAGTAATATACACCTACAATTATCTTGTGTAAATTCTCTATAGAATTAAAAAAATACCATAATAAAAACCATAATGGAATTACAGAAAAAATAGTATACTTCAAAAAGAAAGTATGTATGCGAGACTTGCTTGGAATATATAAATATGAAAGGCTATCCTACTCAAAAAATCCATGCGGTCCTATCATTGCAGAAAGACCGTTACATACTCATTTAGATGTTTTTCACTATAATAAAGAAAAATTTCTCAAACTGTTAAATATGTTTCATTTATGTTCTAGTTTATAATCTAGAAAACGGAAACGTTACTAATATTTTAAATAAATTGAACACTTCGTAAATCTTATTTACGAGAGAGACTAAGACGATCGACGTATCGCGTCTTGACATCCTTGCACTGCTTCCTGATTGTACGGCCAGGTAAGGTGGTCCCAAAAGATAAATTTAAAAAGACAGCAGGTTAGTTGCTGTACTCCCACAGCCCGAGGTACGTTTTCCGTTGCAACCTATATATGTCGTTTCTGACCCTCACCGCCGCCGACCACAGTAAACTAATTTTACGATATTATGAACAATTTAGCAGTGACTCTTGAATAATTCGATGACAAATTTTACAAGGAATCAATTGGTGCGATTCATTTTTTCTTGCATCGTTCGCGAGATAGGAGAGAAAAACTCTTTCTTCCTCTATTTTCACCCTGACGTTGTGGATTCGTGTAAAAAAATAATATCAGATTAGGATTCAGCACACCTAACAACATAAAGTATACTAAATTTCATCCCTCCCTACGTAATTCCGATTTCATGTAAGTTTTTACTGGACTATATTGAGAGGATTTTTCGGCGATTTAGAATCTTTTTTTGGATCCGTCGAACTATCAGTTGGCAATGCGTTGCTGTGAAATGATCATCGATGAATTCATTTATGAACGAAGATTTATATCGTATTTGCTTGACAGCTTCAGGCAAAAGTTTTTAATGGTGATGAGTACATTTACATTATTTTTTAAAGTCGAGTGGTATTTAATGTTGTTTATTTTTCATACCATTCATAAAAATAAATTAAAACAAAAATGAAATTCGTTAATTTGGTATTGAACAATTTACATTTTAATTTTTCGAACTCATTATGGTTTATTAAAAATTTGCGCAAAAAACATCTCAAGAAATTTCACATAAAAAATGGAATTTATGATTCTTATGGATAAGTCACGTCTTTTTCACTCGTTACTTTTCAAAAGAGCGAATTCAATGAAATCACGTTCATAAAGTATCGAATACCTCTTAGCATAAAATATCCAATAATTGCTTTTAAATATTAATACTTGTACATTATAATGCAAGTATATTTTAGAATCTTTAAATAATAATTTTAATAAATTACCGTAAAAAATATTGACTCGTTTCTAACAACAGTATGCACTTTTAAACACCTGATTTGAAAAGGGAGCGAAAAATTCAAGCGTAACAGCGGTGATGATGATCGAAGGGAGGAGAGAGAGAGAAAGAGAGAGAGAGAATAAGCTTCTGGTAAAGGCGGGGAGAGAAAGAGAGAGTCTAACGACCCCGCGTCGCGTGCTTGTGTTGCAAGGTTCGAAAGCTCGCGCGCGCCTGTAAAGTTGGAGGATCGATGGCAAGCGGAAGCAGCCACCTTTACCAGGCGGCATTTGTATACACCTCTTGCAGCTCGCTACTGCTGCTGCTGGCCTACTTTCTAGAACACTACCACCGCAGCAGCAGCATTTGTGTCTGCGCCTGCTGCAGTCAAGTAAGTATATAATGCAGAATCAAGCCGATGCCCATGAGATTTGTCTATTATTGTTGCTTACGATTATTATTATGATTATCATTAAGATTACTATTATTGTTATTGTTAATGTTATTATTAGTGCAGACTATGAAGTTACTTGCATTGAGCGTCTCAACAACTATAGAGATAACCGTTCGATAAATTTAATACTCTACAAATAACAACGTGTAAATTTAATTAGATGGTAAATTATTTGTGTAATTGTGAGCGCAGCATTTAGTCGGCTATCTTCATTTTATGCATTTACATACGAATTTTCTCTGAGTTAGGCTCTTGTAGTGTTTTTTTTAACGAAATGAATAATTTATTTAATCAACATATTTAGTAAATTCAAACAAATAATTAATTAATTCGAGTAAATATTTCTGTGGTAGAAAAAAAACTTCAATCGAATAAATCATTTATTTAAATCAAAATTCGCAGATCTGATGTTAAATTTAATTTTGTTTTAGATTCTTTTTCAAGTTCAATTTTTTTATTACGGCTGTCATATGTTGTAAATTGGAAATTTTTTAATTATTTGAAACTGTTCCACGTCTTGTCAGTTTCGTCAAAATGCTAATAAACGTCCTTTTGCTGTATGCTCTGGAATTTTTAAAGTGCGCTGTTCAAAAGGAAGCTTGATTTTTTTCTTTGAACTTTTTCCCTTTATATCGCTCTTGAAAAAGGTTTTTGTATTTCGAAAGTAAAATACTCGAAATCGTCGTGTAATCTCTTGAACTGCAAAATCCGTCACTTCAATGATGATAAAGATTCAAAGTTAAGTATGAAATATTAAAATATTTGAATTATATCCAATGCATTAGTAAAAAAAAAAGACAAAAAAATAAAATTTATAGTATTCTTCTTGAATATTTAAATTACAAGATATATGTAATCAAGTAATTTTAATTTGTGTAAATTTTGAAATCATAAAAATTCTACATTAGTACTGGTAATTTATTTATGATAATCAACTCAAAACAACCTGTCATTAGAAAATTACCAACTTTTTTTCACTTTATTTATAAAACACTAACTTCATTTTTGAGATTTTATGCAAAGAAATAGTGTTTCAAATCACTTAATTCTGCAGCGATTAAAAAATCATTTTGTCTTGGTTGTAAAGAACAATACTTGAACTGATTGATAAATTCATATTTATTATTATAAATTTATAATTTCTAATTTTAATGTACGCACAGCGTTAATATTATAGATAAATTTGTATACATTATATTATAAATTGCATATATATATATATATAATAATGTATATATGCAAATAAATGGATTATAATTTGACGTTTTTAAAAACGATGGCGTTCGAAACAATGATAATTTTTCATCTTATAAATAAAGGTGCGCTAAAACACCATTTAATTGTGTATAAATTCAATAGAACAATAAAAAATCTTCAATTTGAAAATCTCCATTCATGTTCAACAGTTTCTAAACATAAAGAATCAAAGATTGAAAATCATCATCGCAATTTTAATATAGATTTTAAAAATGAAAAAGCAGGTTTTTCAGTTGTAAAATTTTAACTTTAATATTTTTGAAGTTCCTACTATAGAATTGTGCACATGCATAATTTTAGTAAACTAGAAAGTATTGTAGTAATCTGTATAATTGCTTCGTTCAATTTCAAAAAAATACGACACCAGATAACTACGAATCAAAGGAACGATTTTGCGCTTTTAGCGTAATTAAAACCCTATGCTACCTATACTACTTACATATTTTATTCAAAGTTTACGAAACTAATCATATCATCGCATCACCAAATATCACATATTGTAAACTACTTTTCAATTTGTACAATTTTGACAATTATATTCGAACTCGTAGCTGTAAGATCTTGTAATTTTCAATAAAATTTTACTTATTAATCAATGATTCTTGATTATTTTATCACTATTTTAACTCACTGTTCGCGTGAGCATTCGGTTTTGAATTACGCGCTTGTGCTGTGATCAACTCAGCTCGGCGGCCGCTTGGAACGCGTCGCTTCGCATCGGCACTTCCTTTTGAACCAGTGACCCGCAAGGACTTCAATTTTCTTAAACCTTTAGTAGAGTGACGTGGCGCCATGTACCAATAAACCAGAATCCAGCAGATATTGCCAGCCCGTTCGATATACTTTCATCAAAAGGAAGACCGAGTCCTCATGTGAGATAATGGACAGTGGTCACATGGAAGGGTGCGAGAGGTCCATCCCGACACAAATCGACGAGTAAGAATCTCGCGATGGTTTGCATAGTTAACGGGACCTACACCGTCGTCAAACTATAGTTTAGCTCCTATCGAAACAGCAAGTAGACATCACCACCCAGCAAGTGACCAGCAAGGACTTCAATTTTCTTGTACTGTTAACGCATACCGTTTTTCAAAATAAAGAGTCATTTTTTACAAGCAGACCTGCTCTTGTTCTTTTACCTGCCTAATTCCCTGCAGATTCACCACTCACTATTTTTCATTTTTTTCGCTTTTTTTAATTACTAAGCCGCTATAACCTTTTTTAATCGTTTGTTATACATTATTTTAACAATAATACGCAAACAAAAATGTATTCAATGCAAAAGATTATGCAAGGACGTGAAAAGCGTTTTAAGTTGATATTTAAATGTAACTTTTTCGATTGTAAGCTTTCATTTTTTGTCTCAATTTTATTTTTAATGACATTCGAAAAAATTTTAAATAAAAAAATATAAATTTTAAACTGCATTTTCTTAAGATATATGCACTACCTGGCAATATAAATTTCATAAAATTCCCTAGCGTAAGCATTAAGGTATTGATTCTCAATTTTTTTTTTTTTTTGTTATTTCAAATTCGTTACTCATACCCAATGAGCTGTTGTATTTTGTTCTTTGGAGGAAGCTTTTTCATGTGCATTTTTAACGAAGCCAACTATGTTTTTATAACACTATGGACTTTATTAGTATTATTATTATGATTACTAAGAATCCCTTGTTTTTTTAAATTGATGTCCTCTTTCTAATCAATTTTTTTCTGAAAAACTCATATTTGCGTTCAAGATAATTTAACGGATAAAGAATTCATAATCGTGAATTTGAGCAAAAAGACTGAATGAAATTTTAAAAAATTTCCAAGTTATCAGTCGGCGTTTTCAAGCGATATAAAAAGAGAAGTAAATAAGGGTCTTTTTATTGCGTTATAAGCACTACACGTTTTCGAATCAAAAGTGCTTGGCTAGGTGGTCGAATTTTGCGCATTTATTCTTACAGAGTCTCGATCTACTCGAGTTTTCTGCTTAACATTAAATTATAATGGAAATTCAACGTCGGAATGATTATCAGTCTTAACATTCTCGTTTGACTCTAATGTATCGGTATTTCGCTTTTGTTTTCGCATATTCGCATTGCGAGATGAGCCTTGAATGTCGATATTGGCAGTTTTTTGAGCTTCAGTGCGATTGTTTCGGTGCAAAAGAATGGGACGCACAGCTTCGGCAGTTTCGTGTCCCAGCTCTGTTTTCGGTAAATTTTTGTACTTTTCTCGTTCTTCAGTTTCCGAGCATTCACTTTCGCTCATTCGACGCTCTTGAGCACGCTTCTTGTTATTTCTTTTTCGTTGATTTTTTCTACGTTGGCCTAGGATGCTTGAATTAGATCTGGAATCGATTTCATAATAAATATGAGAAGGTATAAAAATATTATTCTGCACAATTATAGAAATCATAAAAGAAAACAAACCTATACAGTTTTTGAGAAACTACATCACTAAACCGTACAGTTTTCTTCAAGCTCGATCCTTCGGACTCTGAATTGAATTCATGAACGGAATCAGTAAATGTGATCGACGGTGACTGAGCGATGCTATCATCGATGCTTGATTCAGAAATTGATCGAGAAAAACTGCGAGACTTGTAAATACTTTTGTACCTTCCAATTTCAACGCCGCTACTAACGCTACTGCTAACGCTGCTTGGAAGTTCATCGCCACTGCTCTCAGAAACAGATCTCGATAATGAACTTCGATGCACTGGTTCCTCTTCTTGACTTTCAAGCGCGTCGACAAAAACATAGTCACCTTCATCGTCCGAGTCCAATTTTTGAGACCCGACGTTTATTACAACTTCTCGGAATTTTGGAATAACCTTGATTTCTTTATCAGTCGTTACTTCAGAGTCTTCCTACAAAAATAAAATTAATTATTAAATTAAAAATTTATTTATACCTATGATATTTCATCATCAAATTGCTTACTGTTAATAATCGCAATTTATTTTTAATCGACGATCCTTCCGATAAGTTTTTGGATTCCATGGATTCTTCACTTATACCATAAAGATATTTAGATATTGTTTCTGGATTATCAAGTTTTACTGATACAACAACATTATTATCCCATGGTTCAATATTCAATGTGTCTGGTTGAATTTGATTCTCGAGTTTCAAACATAACGAATAATAAACAGGATAAAATCCAGCTCCAATAGAAGAAACTATTACATGAAATCCTGCATTGTTGGCCAAAATTTTATGTTGGATGGCATCAGAATCAACATTTTTCGCATGAATTGTAACACCCAAAACATCCTCGTGAAGGTTGCATGAAAACGTAGGAAGAGAGTACTTGAGATTAGGGTTCATAAATGACATAGTAGCTTCGTCAAGACTAGTCCTCAATACTGTTTCGACGCAATTATTGTTTACATTGTATGTATCAATATCATGCAGTTCTTCCACTAAATCACTGGTACCTTCGTTTTTCAATTGACGGCTCATTTCTGATTCTGGCAATGGACTTCCATGATCGCTATCTACTCCACTATCTTCTTTAGCATCTGATACTTTGTTTGTGTTAATAGGTAGAGATGCCTCTCGCAAAACAGGTAGTGTGACAGTCAACTTTTTCGATTTTGGATCAAACTTCGCATTGCCTTTATCCTTATCCACTCGATAAGATAACGGCAATTCTAAATTGTACTTAGCGGGTTTTTCACTTTTTAACGTCAAGTGTTGTTCTTTTACATCTAAAGTAGCGTTCGATGCTGACTTTAAAAGTGGAAGATTGATTACTATTACTAAATTTTTAGGTGTAGTTGAGTGTAATTTAGCATCCTTTGTTTCCAAAAACTCGTCCATTTCTACACTACTCTGATACTTGATGATAAATTTTGGAGTTGTATAAGAAGATGTATCTCTCATTTCAGTTACATCATCTGTTTTATTATAGTATTTAGTTTGTGGTGCAGTTCTCTCTGGTTTTTTACTCGATTTTTTTTTCGTTTTCCTATTTTCGTCATAGGTCGACATGAGTTTTTGATATATCTCTGGATCAATATCCAGCTTTTCCTTGGGCTTTTCACATGGTTTTCTGATGACAGTTGGCAGACAAGTTCCTTTTTGGCTCATTTTTGGAAATTTCAAGTTTTTTCGATCCAATTTTACCTGAAAACAAGTTAAAATAATTTAAAATTCGCAAACAATTATGAACGTCAAAAACATCATTTCGTTATAACTAGTGGCAACGTTTGTCGCACAAAGCTCAGCAAAGTTAGTTGACAACTACTATGAGTCTTATTTATTGAAAACGATTAATTTACATTTTTTAATTTTAACTAATTTGTCAATTCACTTTCTACTTATTTGATAAGATTGTAATAACATAAAAATTAATTGCACGAATGCTTTAGATTACATTTAATATTTTTCTTTACAAACTTGGACATTTTATCCGATATAATTAATAAATGAGTATTACGAGCTAGAATTTATAATGCTCTAACGAATAATGAAGGATTGTTTTATTTCTCAAGTATCGCAGACGTATATTATTTACCAAATAACCAAGGGATATTTGTTCATAAGCTAAGAAAGAAATATGTATGTCTTATCAAATAATAAATATTATTCATCGAATTTTTATTTCTTAAGTAACCCAGCCACATATCATTTTCAAAATAAGCTTACTATTTACTTACATTCTAAATAATTGCAAAGCAGGATTCGCTTTATTTATTAAGTATTTCAGATGTGTATTATGATGCGATAAAAAACTATAATAGACCCGTATGAATGAACGAAAAAATTCCCTGACAACAGTTAATAAATTAACAATATTTCGAAAAAGAGCATAAAAAGTGCATAAAAATGTACTTTTTTCATACAAAAAAACTAATCAGTAACGCGTTTAGACACCAAGAATATACCCTTAAAATTTCAAACTGATCATCTAAAAAGGATCTCAGTTATCGTAGGACAGCGTTACGCATGAAAAGTTGCAAAAGGAGCCATACCACAACTTCGTTAAAATCAACGTTATAACATCGGCGTATTCGAACAAAACATCTGTTATAGAATATTCGTATTTTTTTTCATCTTTTTTATCGAGTAACTAATAAACGTATAAAATTATCGGTAGATTACGGATAGCATAAATACATTTATTCAAACGTCATTTTTAGATATTTATAGGCATGAATTAATTGTAAAACTTTATTTTTGGCTAAATACAATTTCATATTGAAATTATAAACTTTCATTGAATCTTTTGTCTATAATCATGTTCAAAATACCGAATACACTCGCTTTGATATAAGTATTTGTCAATATCAATTTCGACTTTAAAAATTGTGCAACTATACTATCTTCAAAGAGTGGGTGATGGTGATTAAAATCTTATAAAAAAATGATTTAATAGACGCTAAATGAATGAAAATGTATGGGGCATTGATAAAAATAATCATTAATGCACTCATAACGCAAATGATTATTGTTCTCTTAGTTTTTTGAGATTTTTTCAAACAACTTGTTTTTCGTTATACATACTCATCGTAGTAATAAAAAGCATTTGTTCAAAAGCGTTATTTTGACAGCTATAGGTTAGGTTACCCAGTCACAGCAGTCAGCAAAATAAAAGGTAAACAATCAAGTTTACATTAGCATCAAGATAAGTATGAGTTTTCGTTTAAGTTACATACATTTTTTTATTTACTTAATTTTCGGAAGATCTTGAGCTAATATTTAATAAATAAAATAATTATATAGTGTCTTTAATTAATCAAATATAAACGTAAATTAATATGAGAAATCAGTATGATTATAAAAAAATTATTTACTCAATAAAAGTGTAAAAGATATTCACTCTTCATGAGTGAGGATTAATTATTCCTAAAAAATTCAATTGATGTTCTTTCTGCATTATATTTACAGGTTTCAAATATTTAGCTACTCAATTAAGAAAAATAACTAACATTAGCTTTTGAATAATAAATAGTATTAATAATCTTTGTTCAATCACTTTACTCTCGAGTTATTAAACATATTTGTCTTAGTTTGAAAAATATTTTTTCTAACTCAAATAAATTTGTAAGATATCAAATTACTTTATTATAAAATCACACAAATTATCTTACAATAAAATCATCGATTAAACGAAAAGTCTACGCTGCACTAATTTTCGTTACATTCAATAATCATTATTGCATTCAAAATTTTTTGGCAACTAAGCGATGTATCAAACCACAATTATTTTTAAATACGGTTGAAAAAAATTTGATTAATATTGTTGCAATAGCAGAGTCTGATACCAATGTCCATTCAAATAAAAAAGTAATTCAAATTCGTTTTTTAAAGGATTACGCAATATCTGAAGCGCCTACAGCATACGACACACGACGAAATCTTTTCTAGGTTATGGACTGAGTTAAAATAGAGTTCATTGATTTCACTTTAATGAAAATAATTATTGGAGGCTGTCGCGAATCGCATAAAAACCAACCATTGGAAAGTGATGCATCGATCGCGCGATATGTCATGATTGAACGACTCGATACTCGAGAGTTTGGAGTAAAAATATACCTTATTCTCAGTAGCTCTATAATGTATGTAAAAAAAGCAAACCGAAGCATACTATCGTGCTCACTGGCAATTTTCGCGAAGCTCATGACTTTGCCTCGTACGATATATGAATTGTTGACAGCGCGAGCAATACGATAACAAACGTCGAAAGCGTCTTTTGCGTAGCACCTCGCGGCGTTCGTGCACACACCGATATATAAAAATAGGGTCAAATAAGTCTCGGGGCTTGTATGCCACCGCCGCTGCTGCAAGCAAAATCGATAAAACCAAGAGGATTTTTATTACCTTGAAGTTGCTCTCGACGCCGTCCAGGGCGGTCTCGTTGACGATCTCGCGAAACTTGGGATTCTTTTCGGCCAGGTAGAGCGTGTCCGGATGAAAAACAACGTCGTAGACCATGCAGCGAACCTTGCTCTTGTCGAAGTCGTCGCGCGGCGGCGCCAGCACGTAAGGTATCGACCAGTCGAGTCCTTGCTCGGCCGGCCGACTCGTCGGCTTGGCCACACACTCGCTGCCACCGACGTTAATGAAGCACTTGAGCCGACCGTCGAGGCTCGTCTTAATCACGTAGGCGGCCTCGGGCTTGACGAAGGTTACGTCGATGCCCCGCTCGCGCTCCAATTGCGTCAGCTCCTGCTCGTAGAGACGCCGGTTCTCCGGGTCGTTGACTTCCTCGGCGTAGTCCATCAGCAGCTTGCGAAACTCATCCTTCTTCAGACACTCGGTGAGATTTCGCATCTCGTCCCGGCTGACATTTAGATTTTCCCAGGCTTCACGCCGCTCCTCGTCGAAACTTTCCATGTTTCTCTGTTCTCTGTTGATTTTAGTTACAACAAACGAAAAGGTATAAGGCTTTCCTCGTGCTCGACTATTTGACGTTAACGAAAAATTATGTTTTTACTTGCTTCACTGCACACACCGTCGTTACCGAAATGTCTGCGGCTCGTTGCTAGTACAAGGAAACTATTATATTGTGCTCGACTATAGAGACGCGTTCGTATGTACAGAGCAAGTATAAGAGACAGAGAGAAGTTGTTATTCGCTTCCCCCCTGAAGTCAGATGCGCAGAGAACTCGCTCTTGTATATATATATGTGTGTTTACAAAATAAAGCCAAGCGGCAGTGTAGTCTGCAGTTCGAAGCTCTCGTGCACTGCAGACGTGTGTGTATGCCGTTTGTTGGCCGCTCGTTCTTTCTTTCGGTATGTGTCGGTGTATTTGCGTGTAGTAGTAGGTCGCACGGCATTTAAATTGATCGTTGCGAATTGTTGACGCGGCGCTGGGATCGTAGAAGACTCCCGAAGTTTTGCGCGCTGCCATGTACTACGACGCGCTCTCCATGCTATATAGATTGTCTGTGCGGACGGCTTTCTAAAAATAGTATTTCGCTCTTTTAAATATATAGTATATATTTATAATGTGACGCGATTATAGAGCTCATGACAATCCATTCGTAATTCAACACGTGTGTTTTTCGGAGTCGAGCGGTTATCGATGAATTTCAAATTTTGACACGAGAAATCGGCAGAGAAGCTTGTGAATTATTATCGATATCTACCCGAAGATGATTTTAAATAATCATTTTATTACTTTTTAAATGAATAAATGACACTTTACTGGCTGCCAAGTATCGTTCTGAATAGGAATGCACTTGTATGACGATAAATTCACAACTGTACGATACCACTGTTGATAATACAGAAATGCAGTAGTAAGATTTACACTTTGTGCGGTTTTATCTTATCATACAATGCTTTAAATAGTTAAATGATAAGATTTCAACATTGAACGATAAATTTAATTTATAGGACGCGGCGATGACATATTTTCAATTCTAAACTGCTTGCAGGTATGATGCATCCTTAACAATGAATTTATATCAAGTTGAATGTTAGTTTCGTTTCCTGTTTTTTTCGTACAATATTTTTGGTCATGTAAATTTATAAAATATCTACACATTTTTTATACTGTCTAATAATTCTTTATATTTTGTGCTCAATAATCATAAAATTATGATCATCAATAAAAAATGTACCTGATCCTGTAAATCCTTCCTTAAATTTTTTTAAATGATGTATGCTCACAAGTCACTATGATTCATTGCGCTGATTATCAACTAATAAATACTAAAAAGTATTTTATCGTTATTTTAATCGAACTCTACGTAAGTTTAACTACTGAGAAATTTTATTTCTTGACTTTCCAGGAGTTGCACAATAGTAACATCGCATGCGGCACATAAAGTGCAGCATAATTACAACGGGTAGCATTTAGAATCCTACAATACTTTATGTGCTTATACGCTTTACCGAGTATCCATACAAATCTGAAATTTACTGAACAATAAATTATACATCTGATATCTGTATGTGTATTTTCTAAACATGCACATACGGTGCATTGCACTTTGATTTATAAAAAGCTCAGTTCATTAATATCATTTTTTGAAAGCTTTTTTTATATCTTACCTTGAATCAAGATCTAAAGAGATCTTACCGATATTTTCTTTCTCTGTATAAAATACTCATTTTCAGTGTTTTTACTCTGGAAAAATATGTTTATTCAACCGCGTCTATGTTGTCAATTCCTTGAAGCGCGTGAAAATAATAAACTGTTCGCCGCATTTACGTGAAATCAATGTTGAATCGTGTCGCGATTTTCTCCATTCTTCATAATATGCGAATGCATTTATTTATACGTGTGCCATTGTCGGGCGCTAAAAATTTAGTATTGCCGCGCATAAAAATCAGCAAAGCGTTCGTACGCGATATGAATCAAGAAGCAGCATGAGCAGAGCTCAGCAACTGCGCTAAGATTCGCTTTCTTCGACCTCGCCGCGCGCGTACAACTCACGCCGTCGTGTGCACGCGTTATATATCGCATACAATTACTGCGAGCGCCGCGAGTAAATGAACGTTTATGCTCGTGCATGCGATAGTAGGGAGTGTATTCTGCATAATAATTATTCAGTGGGGTACGTCTTTTTTTTATTCATATTATACGTAACGTACGCTATTCGTATTACGCGCGCACATTTTTCAGGTAGAACGATCTTTACAATTTTTTGAATGCTCTGCAGAGAATTTGTACGTTTATCGGTCGGATGAGTAAGTCCAAGAGCATGACTCCGAGAATGTGTAAATAATCTACTAAAACCGGCTACATCTTGCGAGACTTTCACGATCCTCGAGCGTGTTCTCATATGCAGCAGCTCAGCTGCTCACCCACGCCTCATTTGCAACTTGCCGATTGTGTGTATGCGTATTTGTGTGGTTGATGAGCGGCTTTTGTGTGAGCTCGATTGTTTCTTATCCATAGTAATATGCTAGCATACGTACATTATTATTATTTACGATTTGCATGCCACTTGCCTTGAAAAACAAGTAAAAGCATTTTGGCTATTAGGGCAGCCACTCGGTATGTGAAATTGTCATGAAACGCAAATCATCGTCGCGATCATTTTTCGACTAAAAAAAAAACTTGTATTACAGAGGTAATAAGCAAAAATCATTCTTCCGTGGCTGAAACAAAGAGCCATACATTATATCGGGTACGCGTGTGTAATAAAACTGCGATCCTTCGAAGTACAACACGAGTCATCGAAGAGAATCCAGGGGGAACGTTCTTGTGTATAGCGCAAAAAAAAGTCGACGAGCGGCTCATCGTTTCGACATCGCCGGAGCTCACGTTTATAATATATATATAAAACCTTCGCGAGGCTCGCGATTCATTCAGTCGCCCGCAGCAGCAGCAGCAGCAGCCTGAACACAATTAAATCGGTTGTCACGTATGGAGCAATTCCACCTCCGAACCATGTGTGTATAATGCGCAAGTGGGGATCTTGTACCGCGTGTACTACCACTGTTGCTCCGTTGTTTTTTCAGCTGCACTACCATCTATAATACTATGCGCGCTCGCATATGAACGCTCCGCGAGGACTGACCCACTGACATTCTCCGTCAGGCGGTCGGCCGCGCAACACATGCGTGCGCAGGTATAGGGCCACAAAGTATACGCGATTTATCGCGCTTTTCCAAAATCAAAACAAATCGTGATTATCGTCGTAATTTGAAGTTTAGCTGTGGTGATTGTAAATCATGAGTCGTCGTTCAGTGATATCGGTGGTATTCGAGATTGAGACAGTGATCATCAGGTGAGCAAATAAAAATATGAGGAAGTGCCGAACTATACTCGCGTTAGTGATACTCAGTTTAATCACGGGCCTCGTCGTTCTCACCTCGAAGAGTCTCTACGATGGTGACGACGATGACGTCCTCGACGGCGAGCAGATCGAGGAGCTGCCCGGTTACGAGACCTTGTATCAGAACGATGACTTTTACGAGATGGATGACGTACCTCGAGTCACCGCGGCTCGAACGGTTACCAAAAGTACCACGGTAAGTTTTATTTACTTTTTTTTCAACTCAAAATGATTCGTCGTTTCATAACAGCCAATAAAAGTTTTTTTGTTCGGAGTTTCAACTTGCATACCGTAAAAAATAAGGATTTCATACTTGCATATTTAAATTAATTTCGAAATTATCGGCAAATGAGAGGAAAATTCAAGTCAATTAGCCACTTTGCAACGCGGGAAAATTCCCGTCATGCTTAAAGCCCGAGTAATTACGTGAAAATTTATAATCACTCCGATGCGAGATCTCAACGAGAGTGACAATCTAACACACGCGTCGCTTACGCGTTGACTATATTTAATGAAAAAGCTTTTAAACCCAAAGTTTTTCTCTGCATCGTGTAGTGACAGCTCGCTGTATCTCTTTCACCTTCGGCAAGAACGCGCGCATAAAAAAATGACTCCCCGTACGTACGCGTGAGTCAGAGAGCACGAGCGAAAGAGCTGCGGCGCGTAAGAGCGATTTCGAAAAGTCGAGCTATATTCACGTAACGATCGGCGACCGGACGTTCTTTCGCGAGTGCAAACGTATACAACTGCACGCACGAGAGAGAGAGATGCGGTGGCAGGCGCAGGAGAATTCGCACGCGATGTATGTGCTCCAGCTCACGGTGAAAGCGTTTTTCCGTAATACTCGGAGTGCAGCTGTGCCGCTCTTTTACGCACTCGAGAGACGCGCGCGCGCGTGCACTGCTTTGTTGCTATACTGTTTGTGCAGTGTACGGCATTTTTTTCAAATGGGCCACCTAACGACGCGAATTTACCATTTTCTCATGTCGGAGGATCGAGAATTTTTACCCAGGCTCGAGTTGTTTTTCAAAACGTAACTTTTACCGCTTGTATTTGTCGCTTGAAAAGAAAAGAAGGGTGTACGAAAAAATTTCATAAGAAATTTTAGAGACACGCGACGTTTATTCTTACCGAATGTGCGTACACGCGTGGGTAAATAAAGCCGCTAACATATACTTGCTAGTGTAGATTTTTCTTGTGAAAGTGTTAAAAGGATGCTTTTCCTTTCATTATTTTCATTTTTACAACTCAGATTGTTTGTTTGTCTATGTTAACAATCATTAACTTAAAAAGAAGTAAAAATTTACGATGGGAATAATTACGTAAATGTTCATTCGCGCGCATTCCGTTTTACACGCGCATTCAAAAAAAGAATTACAGACTATATAGCGGAAAACGTCACTCGGACTTTTCACTCAACAGTTCTAGTAGTGCGTAGTTACCTTTTTCGCGGATTCGTTTCGAGTTTTGTGAAAGTACAGATCGACCCATGCGCGTTGCCATATGACATAAATTGCAATATTTATGTGCGTGTAAAAAAGTTTTTCTTTTTAAAAAGTTTATAATAGACGTGCATAATCGCGGCATAAACGCAAGATTCAAAAACCGTCAAAGTCACCACTATAGTATATAGCTTTAACATGCTTAAGCCTCAGGTAATTGATTAAAATATTTATACATCTTTCATGCTTGCGGCAAACACGCGTTCGCGTGCACGAAACCTCGGCGAATGAAAGATAAAAACGTATGATTTAGCACCTGCATCTTGTAAATTAATAAAACAAATACTGCGTCACTGTGAGAAAATCGGCAAGATGAATAATATCTATCAGAGAAATATTTCAAAGCGCAATTACGCTGACTCGATTTATTTACACATAATATATTCGATACACTGTAATATATCACATTTGAGTGCAGCTCAAACTCCATGAAGTCACGCCATCGCTCGCCGAGCTCGGAGTCAAGCCTTCTCCTCGTCAAGACCACGTGCTGATGATCACTAGAATACCCGGGACGGGCGTCGAGCTGTTGGTCCTTCTGCTGCAAAAACTGCAAGGATTCAACGCTTTCAAGCACATCAGACTGCCGCCAGGAGACGAGGGTACTCTCAGTAACATCCGACAGGTAATCTGATATAATAAATTCACGCGCGACTTTCTCTAAGGTGTAATATTTCTTAATGAAAAATCGGTAAATAATTTCTGCGAGCGTGCGAGATACGTATACATCTTACTCGTAAGCACGAGTGTGTAACAACAACACCATGTGCGGTTCGTAATTCAAGATACCGATCGACGCGTACTTTGATCGATCTCATTTTTAGAAAGTTGACGTGAGTGACTTTTGTACATTTGCAAAAATAGATTGCACGAGTATTTGTGCACGCGCGTGTATTTTGATTGCGATAAAAGGTTAAGGTTTGTCAGCCTTTAGTTGCGATGAGAAATAAAAACACAATTATGTATTACAGAGATAGTGCGTTGATTTTCTTTTCATCGAGAAAAGAAATTCGGTAATTGAGCGTTTTACAATTGTTGCTATTTTACATATGAACAATGATTCATTAAAAAGTGCAGATACATAGGAATGATTGCGTTTTGAAATATCGATTGCAACAGATCCACAACTCGCGAACTCATTACAGTTTAGAGGAACAAATCGAATTTCTTTGTCAAGAAGTAATACGAGACATAGTTATAATGACTATGAACGCTACTGCAAAAGCTTCGGAAGTGTCTATTCTTTCTAAAGTTATGCATATTTAATGAGTTATATGTTGGACATTCAAAGCGCAATATAAACTTTGAACTAATTTCATGCAACGTTCATTCAGTTTACTTAGTTGAAAGAAGGCCAATTTTTATTGTCATCGTTTAAAAGGAAAAATAATGTATGCCGTTAAAAATATTTTCATTAATATTAATGCAAAAAGATAGAAGGATCGTGTTCAATTTCATTGATTTTAAAAGCGTACTTTACTTATACAATTATTTTTACTTTGACACTTGCAGATTTACAAATGTAGATGCTCGACATCTATTGGTAGATACTGACATTAGTTATGATTGTATTTCAATACATTTTTTAAGCAATTAATGTAAAAATGAAATAGTGCTGATACGTTAATTTTCAATGTAAATCTGATGTAAATCGTACTTTAAAAAATTCAGTATTGGTTACTTAAATGTCGAATTTTACAATGAATTTGTATTAAATTTAAGGACTTTTAAAAGTTATATAGTACTATAAATATAGCGAATCTAAAAGCTTTTTTCTATTTTGTCGTCGACATGAAGGCGTGCAGAGAAAGACATTAGTATAGAATACAATTTTTATAATTACAATTTTTGAAAAATATTATTCCACGAGGAAAAACAAAGTTGCAAGTTGTATTGAAAAAGTTTAATGAAAAATTGTACGTTTTGCTGAGGTCACGATATATCGCACGCGATCCAACTATACCACGGAAAAATAAAATTATATGCATGTTCCCGACTATTTTTATCGTCACACTTTTTCCGACGAAAATTTTCAAGTGATTAAAAATTTTGTCCAAAAGTGGGTAAATTTTTTACTAAAAAATACTAAACAAAAACATAGGATCTTGACACATATGCATGGATGAATCGAACGATTGCGAAAGTACTTGAGTGCATTGTGTCGAAGCGTGAGAGGAACAGAACGAGCCCTGTGTCAATGTAGATATTTTTCACTGAGACTCTCTCAACAGATTGAAAGCTTTTATTTAGATGCTACGCGAGATGCATTCATAAATTTCCACCTGTAACTTATAAGAAAAGTCTCGTTATCATCCCTAGCAGTGTCTTCTCTATTTACAATCGGGACTCCGATAATCGTGTTCCATAACTAATGACTCGAGAGGTTTCGCGCGATTATTTTCTTGCTATTGCGTTACGTAATCTTTGTAATTTTAAAAGGGCTCCTCGTATGTTTGTGGCGTGTTTTTAATCGTCGTATCGACAAACGCTATACATTCACAACGCGCAGAGAGACGAAGAAAGCAATGCATTTTGAACGGCACGTTTGAATTTACGTAACGCGGTGTGAATCTGAACTCGAGCGTCAGAAAAGATCTGATTGTGCTCTTCAATCTTGTTCTCAGCCCGCAAGGGTTCGTAATATTAACTTGCAACGACTTTCGTTTCACCGGCGAGGTCGCGATCAAAGGCATATTTTTATTCTCTCCCAGTTACGCTCACAATCACAAGTCAAAGATTTCATTGAAACCGTAGAACGTCCAAAGAAATGACAAAAATGTTTAGAATGACATACCAAAATGATCCGACTCATAAAACGTGTTGTTCGTTAATTTGTCTTTGAGCGTAATCAAGTAGTTAGTTTATTTTTATTGAGATCGATAATTGCCTACGATTCATAATTTGTTGACTTGCGCAAAAATTTTATAAACTACGTTCACTCGCCATGTATGTATGCGCTTAACTTATCCGTTGTGCAACGCGTGTGATTTTTATTCTTACGCGCTGTATATTTAAATTTTGCTAGTTTCAAAATTTTCAAAACAAATCGCTCAAATTTATTTCTATGGAAGTTGATACATAATTACATGAAAAAAAAACTGATTAAGTTTTAGCTTGTCACAAAGAGGATCGGCTTACGCGACTATATAAGCATCAAATTCCACATCATGATCCACGGTGTACAAAACGGTGATAATGATATCCCCCCGCTGCATTACCATTTACGCATAGCGAGCTACGAGACATCGACGTTGCGTTATATTTCATAGCACGAAACTCGTGCACGGACCATTCGTGCGGTTTCAATGATACTGCGGGAATTATGTTGCAATTGAATCTTTGCATACTCCCAACGAATAATTTTGGAAACGTATTCTTTAACTTCGGTAACCTCATTGGACTTTCCAAGGAACGGTGCATAAATTAGCCAGACCTAGAGGCGTACTACTTTAGCGAATGCAAATGTTTGCCTCGAATGCCACTAGAATTTAGCAATACATTAGTTAATTATGTTTGAAATGGTGGATAATGTTAGCAACCTTATTATTAGACAAGTTTATGTCTTGGAAATACTTAAAAATAGTTTTGAGAAAATAATAACTTCATACTATTTGTACAGGAATTGTTGGTCGAAGAAGTCACAAACATAATTAGGCAAGAAGCCATTCCTTTGTCTTTCGATGGTGATGTGCGCTTCGTCAATTTTGCTACCTATGGTCGACCGTCGCCTACTTATATTTCTCTCATTAGGGATCCATTAGATCCTAAAACTATTAGCAGGTAATAATACATAATGATTTTCTTAAACACTGATAAAAATACTGCTATTTTTGTACTTGAAAGTTTTTGAACCAACTTTGTTTGCTTCTAGATTTCAAAACGGAAAATCATCTATCATTTATAGAGGTTCCATTGTTCATTTTTGCGGTCATGATCCTCGTTGTTCGTAAGTATTTTGGCCACACTTGAGTATTATACATCGACATCTTCATCGATAATCAAAGTTTAAAAATACATGTCTTATCGTAATGATGATTATGTTAGAGATTTGTTTCTTATAATTTTCACTCAATGAGTTTAAGTTCGTTGAACTTGAGGCAGATAAGTAAATTGCTATTATCTAACTTGAAACAAATAATTGCGTAAATAAATTCACAAATGCATGATACAAAATAGTTGCATCATAATTCCGGTTTGACAAGAAATCAAGTTCAGTATTATGCATAGAAAATTCTTTAGAAGAAAATATATGACGGCACTCAGACAGTTTAATTCGTTGCATAAGTTTTTCTACAATTTATGAACCTGCTCAATGTTTTTAGTGAAAGAAATAATGAATGGGCATTGGAACAAGCCAAAAAAAATGTACTCCAATGGTATCCCGTTGTCGGAGTTCTCGATAACATGAATGAAACCATTAGATGTCTGGAGCAAACATTTCCATTGTTTTACGAGGGTGCTGCTCTCGTATATGAAAAAATTCGTGAGTCAATTTTATTATTCCATCAGTGAACAAATATTTTTATGATAAAATATTATTTTTTTAGGTCCAAAGGTGGCCAAGACACTATTCGATTATCCACCTGTGAAACCAAATATAAAAAAACGCTTGAAAGAATTACTAAAAACTGAAGTTGAATTCTATGAGTGGGTGAAACAACGATTACTTGCTAGTTGTGTGAAAGAAACGTAAAATTAATTTGACTTTTTTTAATACCTACGCCAGTGTAAATTTATCTAGTGCTCATAAGTTTTAAGGTACCTACTGTATCGACGGCTGAACAACAAGTGTTTTTAACGATGCGCAGTTGATACAATATGACTGTAGTTCCAAGATCATTCACAAACCATGTTTTATATTTAAACTTGTAAATAGATATTTTTGTAATGTATGTTTTGTGAGATTAATTGAAACAAATCGAAACTTTGTTTTTTATAAATAATTGTAAGCATAAACAAACAAGCAAACAATTTGTTTTATAGAATTTAATAACAATCTTCAAAATTTCAGGATTTATAACGTTCACCAAGGGGTTAGTGTAACTGTTAGCATTTTACTTCACAAACAGATGACAAGTGTATATGTTTAAAAAAAGTTGGAATTTTTCGGGCATAGAAAAACCGTACAAAATTTTTGTTATATCACTTCTTTTTGGCGTCTTTGAGACCAGCACCCGCATTGAACTTGAAAAATATTATGTCTCCATCTTCTACGACGTAATTTCGCCCCTGTTGCCTGTATTTTCCAGCAGCCTAAGAAATAATTTTATAAATTAATAACTATTTATATGACAAAATGAAATAGTTTTATACCTTGACCGCTGCTTCTGTGCCTTCGTTTTTGAAATCTTCGAATTTCATTACTTCAGCCATGATGAAACCTTTTTCAAAATCTGTATGAATTCTACCAGCAGCCTGTGGTGCTTTAGTTCCTTTCTAAAATGTCGAGAAAATTGCAGTTTGAATATAAATTTTAATATGAACAGTGAGTTGAGCTGATTGTAAAAAGTGAAAATGTAACGTATTGATACCTGAATTGTCCAAGCTTTTACTTCATCGTGTCCAGCAGTAAAGAAGTACTGCAATTGCAGAGCTTTATATCCTTGCACGATAATTTTATCCAGGGCACTGAAAAAAGTGAATCATTTTAAATTAGTCGTTAAACTTTAAAAAATAATTTGTTTCAGCGAAGGCTAATCGTCAAATTTTTGCAATATCCAGAATGCTATGCTTTTTTCAGGTTTTATGATCATTGTAAGAGGGATCAACGTACAACTATATTGTATTTGAAAGCCAATAATTATCAATACCACAGATGGACTACTGATTAAAATATTTTTTCTAAAATTGAATTTAAAATTTCGAAAGTATATCATTGGCAATCGATAAACAGTATCAAGTTAGATTTACGCCACGTTCACTCACGCACGTAATGACAGGGTAAGTGCGTGGGCGTTGCGAAGAAAGAATGAGGAAAAGGAGGGAGAGAGAAATTCGGGGATTTCAGAGAATACGCATAAAGTGAACGACTTAATACTGCAATTTCAACATTCATCGATGATCCTTCTTTTTTCTCTCTCATTCTTCGCAGTTCGGCTTTGCGGTCGCCCGAAATAAAATCACGACGAGGTCGGTACCCTTCATTACGGCCCTGCATGCGCGCATCTTTCGATTAATATACAAAGAGATGCTGTAGTTGTTGCCCCACAACCCTAATACTAGTGAGTTGCAGAAATATCGTCTCTCGAATTTGTAGAATCGTTCGACTTTTCAAGCGTCATGGGCGGTAATTTTAGTGATTTTGCTGAATTATCAGCGACGTACCGTGCATTTTTATCGAATCTATTTGAACTCTGTTTTTTTTTCGTAAAGCAGCTACTTTTTGCAACTTCATTAAACTACTGCTCACTTTATTTAATTTTTTTCATTCAAAAATGTTGAACAACTCGAAACAAATTCTAACGAGCAATGAATTATTTCTTAAAATACGATAATTTCGGAAAAATGTTACTGGATTTATAGTTAGATACAGCCTTTCATCATAATTTTATAAGAATTTGAATATGCACTCTCGAAGTTGTAAATGAGGAGCTGCAAGGTATTCGAAGCCGAAGTTCTTTTTATAGTTTAGCAGTCTCAGGTTTGCGCACGGCGGGCGATTGTTTCACGAAAAGACCATCCATTATAAGGAGCGAATTTCTATGCACTTTTTGAGAGAGAGTAAGAGTGAGAGAGATAAAGAGAGCGAAGTGCTGACGCTGCGTGGGAACCACAACATTTTTTCCCTACGCGCAGCTTATGTATATTAACGAAAAATTTCACATCGGCGATTTCGCACTTGCATACAAGCTCAAGGGCTCGTGGAATTAAACACAAAGAAGCTTTCGGTAAATACCTTGAAACTTTGCTCTCTTCGATGAATTGAGCTCGTTCTGACTCCTCCATATCGAACAATTTGTTCTCGAATACACCGCTGAAAGGTATGAGCATTGCGCCGGGATCGTTCTTGTCTACCCATTCTTTGATTTTGATCAACCTGCAAGAAATTTTTTATTCTTTTTTTAATTCATCTTTCATTTTTAATTTTCAAAATTTAATAACCATTGATATCTATTCACCATTTGTTTTTCTTGCGGATGTAGTCCTTCTCAGAAAGATTTACGAGGTAAATCACAGGCTTCGATGTGAGAAATAGATATTTATTGAGTACTTCGATCTACAAAATAAAATGAAAATATAATTCAGTTTATCGCTTGATTTTTTCCCTTATAAGTATACACTGCAGCAATTTCTCACAGATGCAGCCGGATGAATAGTTAATTTTTAAATTCAAGGTGTTTTTCTATCAAAAGTTCATCCGTCATCGAATGTTTACAACTAAACAGCGAAGCATTGACACCGCTGATTAAACATAATATTTGTCGACAAGCGAGATTTCGACTTCAGAGGGTCTTTCTCTAAGTGGCTTTTACAGTACATATTATGAAACCGCAGGATATTGCAGCGTTTCCGGGAATGTAATGCAATTGAATTTTGTTCTTGCACTCTTTCAGTAATGCACTCTCGACAGCCCGTCCAAGTGTGGATGTATATAGCGCGCAGACTCTGTGGAATAAACCACAATAAATCGGTGCAAGTGTGCAACGACGCTGCACATAGTTTCTTGTTCATTTTCTGCTCTTGCCCGAATCGACGGATTTACAGCATCGAAGAACGACTACAATAACAATTCCTTTTATTCAAGAATGCAAGAAAAGAAGCACATATTCCCAGAAGGAGACGAAAGTTTTTTCCTCGCCTTAACAGATTTTTGCTGCGAATGCTCAAGAGTGCGAAAATGTTGCAGTGCAATACTGATTCATCTCACTCTCGACAGCTGCTGTATCGTGCTTTTGTTAAGAACAAATATTTTCGTAGACACTTACGTCATTGACGCTCCAGTCGGCAAATCGGATGTGTTTCTTCTCATCCACCACAACAGACTTGACTTTGAGTAATGTATCCTGAAAAAATAATTGGAATGTAAACTTGAATTCATTAGATACAATGATATTGAGTAACAAAATGGTATTGAAATTAAAAATGAGCGACGTCGATACTCAAGTCTACAGAAATGGACAGCGAGTAAAAGAAGGGTAAAAAGTAGAACGTAGAATCGATCGATTCGAATTAGTGTGCGATGTATATATTTTTCTTGGAATGAATTTAGTCCGCTTTTTTCAAGCGCGGCGGGGTCCATTCTTACAATCGCGAAATTTTTTTCCCCTTTTTTCATTATTTCTATGTTTTCTCTTCTTTTTCAACTTGCGCTTGCGTATTTCAACCCATGAAAAAGTTCAATACGCAAGATCCTTCTTTTTCTTATATAGAACATTATGCGATCTACCTTGTACAAGGAATCGGATAATTCGACCGGTAATCGCGACCTTTAGCCACTTTGTTCGAGGAAAAAACATCGCACAAAATTGCACTCGGATCGCGATAAATTAAGCGCAAAAATTTTTTTTTCGTTAACCATCGCTCGTGGCTACGCAGATGCGGCAAACGATTCGTTCAATTTTTTTTCCTCGCTCTACGCGCGGTGTTGTGTACTGTAATTGATTCTTTTTGAATACCAAAGAATAATTATGTGTTCCGGTGGCACGCTGTGAATCGATTAAAACGAAAATATGAAAAGTGGCGTATACATGTATCGACGTCAAGGTAAATATACAATGAGACAATGAGCCAGAACCAGAAGCTCGCGGAAAGAAACAAAAAACGGATAATGCAGAAATTCTTTCAAGTTTCAATGAATCTTCGCGAGATTTTTTGTTTACATCGTCCAGTTCGACAAAAAATAGTCGCAGGATCTCGCTCGAACGAATCGAAAATACAATTAAGCTTTCAACGCACGCACGAAATCGTTGCAAGTTTCAAAGGCACTCGGTTGGTCGCTCGAGGCTATACTTGACAACAGAGAGACGCGACTGTTGCGAAGAAAATTTGCCCACACGATTATCCTACATTTAACGAAGTCGATCGGGATGCAGGGAAGGGTGAAACATTGTTTACTTACGTATTCGGGTTTCAGTTTCTTGTCGTTGCCCCTGACCACTAACTTCTCTAATTTTTCTAAATGTCCAGTGAGAAATTCAATGTCTTTGAGCCTCAGTTCTTCACTAATAATTTCCAAATCTCTTACGGGATTTACGTCGCCCTCGATGTGAGTAACATCGTCGTCTTCGAATGCACCTAAAAACAGAAATCAGTATAAAAATCAAATTGAAGACAAAAATCGTGTATCGTGCCGTACGTGGCTTAAACGCAAGCGCGGAAGACTTATTATTGCAGCGCATGCAAATGTGGTTCGCACGTATCGGCACGTATACGCAATCCGTGTCTACAGCACGTATACAGTGTATGGAAGAGCAACTAATTACTGGACGGCGGTAAAAAAATATCTCGTGATTATAGCAACAATTACGGCGGGAGCGAAATTCGCCAGACGAGAACGCATTGCACGATTCACGCGTGGATGATACGTCGTCCTCCCACCATGTAGCAGTGCTGCATTTTATGCAAAATTTCGAACGCGTTTCTTTAATTCGCCTCTTGTCTCTGCGGCGCATTTATTGCATCGTGTTTCGTGCTCAGCTGTCAGCTGCAGTTACATGCACACACAGACACGTCTCACGCGCATCTCACGCGTCCGAAAACATCATCGAATGTATATTAATGTCGGTTTCCACGCATATGTACTCGTGCATGAATCGCGAACTCTTCCGATCAGAAAATATAGTCGAGGAGCTCTCCCGAGTGCATTGACGTGATGTTGTCGGTAGCGACTGTTTGTGCGTCCGCGTGCGTATGCATACACTCACTCGCGTTATCCGCGCAAGTCGAAATTGACTTAAACGCTTGCATAACGAGATCCATTGTAAACCAGTGAGATATATTATTGAGAAACTAATAAAGCATAAGTGGGTATTGGCGAGGTAAGCACTCCTTTTCTCTTTGGCTGTGTGTGAGAGAGAGAGAGAGATGCACTTCCTGTACGAGTGTACGTGTATACGTATATGTGCGTATGTACGAACTCGTGTGGCAGACACAGACATATAGGTACGCGTATGAGCGAAATGAAAAGAGCAGCAATGCTGCTGCAAGGAGAAATAATGGCTTCGGCGTGGCTGCATGCAAATTATGCTCTACTCGCTCGCGCTCGCTAAGAAATCCGAAAGAAGATCGTCTGCGGCTGCGAGAGAAAGAGAGAGAGAGAGAGAGAGTCGGTCTCAAAAATTCTTACCACTTTTTTTCACTTTTACACGGACTTTTTGTTATTATTCTCCGCTGACGGCGCCCATCAAACGCGCTCGTCTCGCGTATGTGTGCTGTATGTGGCATGCGTTCCGACTGCTGGGCGCAACGCACTCGTAAAGCCGAGGAGAGAAATTGTTTTCCGCAACGCACACTATCACCGATAAATAATTGCAAATGCATACGCGCGTTTATGAGTCGTTACGATGCGCTACAGCTCGATCGTTAAAGCGTTCGAAAATCGAAGAAAAAAACAACAGCGAGTGCACGGTATCCGAGTGACGAGTGCTCTTCTGTAACGATGATAGTTGCAAATGTCACGCGAAAATTTCAAAATGCAATAAAAAAAAAGTAAGCTGTAATAGAATACTCGATACAATTTCCTCCGTTTGTGAATTTATTCGAAAATGTTTTTAACCAGATGCAGTCGACGAACTTACGAAGATCTGTAAATATGCACCGATCTCGAGCATCATTACGACATAGGAAGTTCGAATCCTGAGTTTTGCACTGTAGATTCGGTCGGAGTAAATGTGCAGTAGCAAAAGTAACGACAAAAAGCAAAGGAAGTGGAATAAAAAAATTGAAGAGACCAACGAGCAGGTATAGGGAGTAACGAGTCGTAATGATAAAGCAGCTTGCATCGAGCGATGCCTGCGATGCGCAACATCGGTGCAGGGAGGGATCTCTAATAAAAGAGTACATGACGCGTTATATTCTGAATCCTACTTCGGAGTAATTGCACGTCGTCGGTGACACACATACATACACTCACACACACATACACACACACACACACACACACACACACACACACACACACACACACACACACAAACGTACCCCCCGAGCGAAAAAGAATATAATAGCAATACGGTGGATTGCGGTGACGGTAGATCGTCGTTGACCATGCCCGAAAGAAAGAAAGAGAGAAAGTATCCGGAAGGAAGTGACGAGTCATACATCAAAGCATTTATGATCAGAATGTAATAATCACACTCGAAGAGCTGAATATCAATTTCAATCTTGACAAAAGTTTTCTGGGCTCGAGAAAAATATACGAATTAAGTTGACGCATCGACCAAACTCGTGCGAAACGCGAGTACACGCGATGCACGTAGATCATCGCCACCCAGCACCATTAACTTTTCATTCTAATTATTCATGAATTTACCTACGATAATTGTTACGAAACGATGAAGAGTTCAAAGTTGGATGCCTAGAATCGAGGCAACTTTGGGAGAAGATCCGCACGTGACATGTACTATATTCCATAATTTTACCTATTCGTGTGCACCCAGACCCATTGTATTATGTGTACACGACGACCCACATTTATTATTATGTTCGCGACGTGTATTTACTTTTGCGCTTGTGCTATTCGTGTGCAACTATATATAAAACTACTCTACTACCCCGTGTGTGCAGCAGCAGCAGCAGCTCGTGAATAATTAATCATACCAATCAGCTAGCTAAGCTGCAGCGGTATAATGTACAGTGGTATATTCGTCGAATGCATGCGGAAATGCGGAAGCTCTACTAAACGTACGTAGACACTGTGATGCGTAAAAACTCATTGATTTGTTGGCTTCTGCAGACATGAATCTATATTGTCGTTCATACACAGCAGCCGCATTAGCGATCATTATTAAGTAAGCGGCAATCGTATGTTATTTCACTCTCTCTCTTCTTCTCTCGCAGTGAAGGGTTTAATGTAGCTCGAAAATAGATGTCGATAACGTGCAACTATAGACTCAAAATACTCATCATTGTAAACGGTTGCTCATTTCTGTATGTCTACCGTATCTATAGTTCGTGCTTATATAAAAGCTTTTGCGAGGAAAAATTAAATAAAAAAAGCTTTGAGTTTTCTACTTACGGCACAGATGGAAAATACCATCGCAGGCGCTGATGTGTGACAGAAAAGCGTTACCCAGACCTTGTCCCTCAGCGGCGCCTTTGACTAGACCAGCTATATCAACAACGTTCAGAAAGGCTGGAACTTTGCTGTTTTATGAAATAAAAAAAATAGATAAAATAAATTTAAAATGAATAAGATCCATTGTATTTACTTTCATCTGTATTATATGCTCGAGTATAAAGAGAAAATGTGAAAAAGAAAAGAAAGGAAAAAATTAACAAAGGCGTCATCTTCGCTTTTTTATAAAGATAGATTATATATGGCGACGACGACGACACGTGAGGATCGAATGCTAATTCTACGCGCTCGTTAAACAATTAGTCCTTTGACGCACACCTCGGATGTTTCGACATCAATCACGTGTCATTTACGAAACGCGCGTTTCACACGCTCTCACCGACTGTACCGAGCCGTTATCGTAATGATGTGCTTTCGTTGCACCCTTTCGGCACTCGCGTATTCTTTTAAAAATATTTTGTTTGTTTTTTCTTTTATTTGAATTAGCAGAACTATTTAAATTGATTACGAGAAAATTTAAAAGCAAAAATGTATGAGTGTGCAATTTTTGGCATAGCAACACTTGTACACCACACGGAATACAAAACCTTGCCGCGCTCGATAATACTAAAAGCTCCAAAGAAGACGGTGGGCGGAGTTAGAAAAGCCGTTCGCAAAATTTGCGCGCAGTCAGCAGCAGCAGCTGCGACGTTAGAGAGAAAAGAGATAAAAGTATTATGGATGCTGCTGCTTCTTCGACTGCTGTCGCTGTTGCGCTTTTCGAGAGAAAGATCATCTGCATTGCAGATCACGTGCGCGTCGATTTTCGGCTCCATCGAAGACGCCGCTTACACGAGGCGCGCGTCGTCCTGACTTTACACATTTTGCGATACGTATGCATTATTATTCGAAACGTAAATTGTGTCACGCTTTCGAAGAAAAAGAGCAGCAAGGAAGGTGGAGAAATTCAGAGATAAGCAAGATTTTCCTCGTGAAATTTATTACGTTGAGTTACGAGCGCTTGAGCTTATTTTTTGGTAAACTCACCTTGCAGGTTTGTAGTAGTTGCAAAGGTAGTCAAAACGCTCGTCTGGAACGGGTACCCTACGTACTGAAAAAACGTCATTTGGTTAGTGAAAATCGTCTTTGAATTGTATCGCAAGTTTTACGTAAAAAATCATTCGTTGAAGATGTCTCATTACCAATCATTCGACAAATGCTTTGTTTTTTTCATCGATACGCAATGCGAACAATTACCAGTTTTATTAAATATCCTCTTGATCGGTTACGAACTCCGTGGCCGAAGTTCTTCTGAAGGTGACCGTCTGTACCGACTGCCTCGGTAGTTCCCAAGTTTGTTCGTTCAGCGGCCTCGTAGCGTAATCCATTTTGGGCAATGTGTCTTTCGTACTCTCGTGATGCAGAGTCGGCCTGTTTTTCATACAATTAGCGACCTGCCTGAAAAACATGCATCTGTTTTCCATTCGCTCCAACACGGACTCATAAAGTTCGCTACTATTTTTGCCCTGAAGAATTTTCAAGTAAACGCCGGCGTATATCAGTGCACTTTGAGATACCGATAATCCAGGAAATTTCGGTCGTAACCCGCCCACGCGAGACACAGCTTTCACGAGCATTGGGCCTAAATTTTGCTCGAGAAAACCAATATTTGGAAGACACTTCAAATCCACTGGCTCGAGAGTATGCGGAAATTGTATGATAATACTAGTATAAACAGGAAAATGTTTCAAAAATTTCTCACGACACTCTTCGCTACAAAATAGGTAAACTTGATCTTTGTACATAACGGCCAAGTCTGGTTTGCCTCGTGTGAGGTCACGGTTCGGTAAATTTTCTATGTACGTGATTACACAGTAACCTCCGTTGACTAAACACTTTGCCCAACATTCATCTTCGATATCGATTGATTCTTCGATGATTCTCGGATATTCTTCTGGCAATTTAAGTTTTTCGATGATTTCCAAAACGTTTACAGGATCCTCTGTGAACATTTTGATGTGTTGTCCACAAAACCAATAAATGACACCTCGGAATTTCAGCAATCCTCTTCGACATTTGTCAATGTCGATATCTTGGAACGTTTCATGGAAGTGTATACAGAGTGGACAGTAAAGTTGACACTTACTCGCCTTTTCCAATATTCCAGACTTGGGTAGACAGGAAAATTCCACATCGCGTATAACATCGGTTCCAGTGCTGCCGATGTACTCGAAATATTTGGTGTATCTAAATCGAACGGCCTCGTCGGCTCTCAACCAAACTCCAAATTTGCTCATTGTCGCATCCACCGCGATCAAATTATTAAAGTCAGACTGCAACGATTCACGGAACTCTTTGGCCGTTTGAGTCCACTCTATATATTCTTGACAGATATTCGAATAGATGCCCTGCTGCTTGGCAGTTTCGTAGCGCTCGGATAAAAATCCTACGGTAACTTCGAGATCTATCACGACGATCGGCTGAATATCCAAAGCTTTGAAAATCGAGGTTTCTTCTTCGTTCGCAGGGAAACCGTCGAATACGCAGCCTTGAAGGACGCATTGTAAATTCGACAAAAAGAGCTTTACAACTTTAGCGAACTGCAGCGCCGTTGGCTTGCCGTCGCGACCAAAGACTTCTCGTAGATCGCAAGCTAATTTCGAATCATCGAAATTATCGAGCACGTAGTTGATAGCTTCGTCACGAGATATGCATTCGAAATCGTAGATGCTGGAAAAGCGTTGACTCAGTGTAGTTTTGCCAGACATAGGTGGGCCTATGACAGATATTAATGCTGGTATGAAGGGAACTCTTGGCTGCTTCGACAAGTACTTCAAAGGATCTTCCTTGAATTTTTCCACGGCTCTTCGAGTTGCAATGAAATAGACAAATCGTCGATGGACCACGGTAAATATTTCCTGCTGACACGCAAGAGGTACGAACATATAAAATGGATTTTTGTTGTAATACGCTTGCACCGGACAGCGTCTGCCGAAAGGACTCAGAAAGTAATAACCTACTCTGAGCAAATGTTCTGCTTGTATATTAGGTATCTCTTCGGTGATTTCAAGTACCGACGAGTTTCTCTGCACCAAAGGAGTACAATTATACAATACTTCGATAAATATTCGTTCGATATTGCGATGAGCGTCGACTTTGATGCAACGTATATTTCTATCCTGAAAGGCATGGATTATTTCTTTTAGTTTGGCATCGAAACGCTTGGATTTAATTTCGATATAATGAAGAAGAAATTTTTTGATGTATTCTTTGGATAAGATATTTTTCTTCAATTTTGGAGCCGGATACAATCTATGAAACATTTGTTCAATATCTTCCGCTTTCATTGACTGCGCAATTATCGATTGCGTACTCTCGAATGATTCGTTACTACTAATCCTTAATAGTGCTTCATTTCCTGCACCATTTTGAATTTTCATACGTTCATTTTTCATCCATTCCTTTTTGAAATCTTCGTAGTCCTTCATTTTTGCACAATACTCCTCTTGATTTTTTATTTCTTTCGCACGTTCTTCATCCATAAAGTCTTTAAAAAGTTTGTTGAATAATCGTTTTTTGCACTTTTCAGTATTTCCATACAGCTCGACGACTAAATCTGGTATGACAAATTTTTCAAACATCATTTGTACGTCTTGAATACAATTAGGAAATGAATTTATCACCACACCACAAGTGTCGTAAGGGGCTTTAAACAAATTTGCAATACACTCTTTTGCGATGCAGGTAGGGAGTGAAGTGCCAGTATCAGGATACTTTTTATAAAAATCTATAATCGCCTGTTTATCGTAGACATATTTCAAATCATCGAGTGATTCTGCAAAATCTGAATTACTACCGTTTTCCTCTTCTTCTTCATAATCGTCGTCCATTTCTGCATTATCATCGTCATTGTTCATCAGACTCATTTTGAGTTTGCGTACATCTATACGACGATCGGATAAGTACTCGTCAAAGCGTTTGTAAAAATCAATATGAGCTAAACCTAGTTCTTTCGAGATGCGATTGGCTAAAGTTGATCTACCACTTCCCACAGGACCGATGATTACTATTCTCAATGGAGGAGGAAAATTTGAAAGAGGTTTCTGCAAAGGGAACGGTGATGGATCATCTAAAAATTTATTTTTGGCTGCTTCGCAACAAAAATAATATACTTTATCATCCAACAGACATTTAAATTTACTGCTACCCTTCCACAACACATTATTTTCGCGTAAAGCTACGGGACAATAAATATTGCTATCGCCGAACTGATTCTTGTTTTCTTCTGATTTATCGGTTTTGAGAAATTCATCAGTACCGCAATCTCCCTCTTTTTCGAATGGAACATACATTTCAGATTTGTACTTTTTTTCGAGATGGGCCAAAACATGTTTAACAGAATCTTTCTCAATTTTCAAATCATAGAAAACTGTATCGATGCCCATCAAATGTAATTGTTTGGTAAATGTATTAATATTTTGACGGTAGGAATCAAGTTCTTTGCGATATAATTCTTCGAGATGATTATTTTTTTCAGAAATTGAATGCGATTCTGCGTCGAAATCTTCACTAGCTTCATTTTCATATGTCTGTGTGGTATCATTAGAATGAGCTGTTCTGAAATTTTCAATGAAATTATCGTAAGGTAGCTGAATATTCGGTAGTACGACTGTTTCGACGTTAAAACCTATGTCCATCAACATTTGTACTTGTTGCAAATCCATTACCATATCATCTAATATCCACTCGTCATTTCTCAAGCGAAGATATGTAATGTGTGCGAAAGATAAATGATAAATATATGTAGATACTCTCACTTTTCTATCCATAGAAGGATGTGCGTTTGTTAAGCTAGCATCGCCTAAACTCTGGATTGATTTTATATTGTCAACTGTTGTGGAATCTGTGTTTATACTTGGTCGACTCATTTGTTTGACATTAATATATTTAATTACGAACATCCATATCTGTAGCAAATCCATTTTAACATACTCAAAACCGCAATCATTATTCGTTACCTTGATATACGTGAAGTATGAAAAAAACATCAAACCAGCAAGTGCTTCTTTAAGAGACATATTGAAGGATTCATTGTTTTCGTCGAAAGAAGAGTGCTCCTCTTGATTTAAATCAACGATATTCAAATTCTGGAATAATTTATTTTTATCCAAGTCCGTCAAACGTTCAATGAAATTATCGTAAGATGATTTCACAGTTGGTTCGACATTCTCGTCAACTGTTAGACCTTTGTTCACAAAGCTTCTTATTTTCTTCAAGTCTTTTGTAATATCCTTCAAGTTTGTCTGATTACTTGCACCAATGAAGACAAAATATCCCATGAACATTAAAGTAATAAGTTCTTCTTTCTCTGAATCATTAGAGAATCTACGGTTTTTATAATTGGTAAGTGGCTTCGGTCTTGGTAAACTAGAACCGTTCGATCTCCATGGGATTCGACTTACGAGATTCATGTCTCTCAAGCGTTTCATTGAATCGTCGTAGAGCGACCTTGCACTCGACGGAGGTATATTTTCCACGTCGAGACCTTTTCCCACAATTCTTGCGATCTCATCCCAATTTTTTGATAAATCATCTAAATTTTCGGTAAAATTCACCAAACCAGAGCGGGCAACTGCGACGTAATAGAACGTAAAACCAAGAGATAAAGCATCAGCTACCAAAGTATCGTCTGGTTTTTTGTACGGGTCGTAACCGTTAATGAGTTCGTTTACGTTTATTACAGGTACATTGTAGAATTTGGCTAATTTTTGACTCACTTCCGTTTTTTTCGTAAATCGAGGACCGCAAACAGCGAGTCTGCAGCCAGCTCTTGGTTGCGGTGGAAGTAAGTAAGGTCGTGGATTTTCTATAAAAGCTTGCATGGCTTTCTCCGAAGATAGAAAGAATATCCAATTCATGAAACGGACTGCGAATTTTCTCTTTCCTTGAACTTGTTTTCCTTCGGCGAGTTTCACTGGACAATTGAACTTCCACCGTGACAGTTGGCATTTGAATTGATTCATCGGGGAAGGGTAATGTTTCATGTGGTTGAATGCACGCTTCATTGTGCAGCAATTTTCATTGCAACCATTAGAAGATGATTCACTTTCACACTCGTCGTTGTCGTTGGCTTCTGCGCATAAACTTTCTGCATCATCTTCTAAATTTTGAGACTCGTCGCATTGTTCAGGAACAAGCGGAACACGGCAGGACATTAGTTGCAATTTCACTTTGACCACGGCGATAGCATGATCGACCGGGTATCGACCGTCTACGTAAATAACGTTTTGCGGTATCGTATTATATATCATCTTTTTTACAGTTGTATTCGCAAATTTCGAATACACTTTTAATCTTGTGTTTAATATTTTAACATTGTCGGTGAAAGATTTTTCAGAAGGAAGATCACACTTGCAGCTTTCACTAGAAACATTGACTGTAGAGCAATTGCTGTCGCTGAATTTGGGACTTAAAATGACGGATTCATTTTCAGCATTTTCACTTATCGATGGAGATGAACGATACGAGTTTTTGAGTAGGGCTAGAATTTCGTCATTTGGACAATCATATTCTATTATGATATCTGGTTTCAATTTCCACCTCTGAAATATCTCGTATATTTGAAAGTCAGGAGTGACATCCGCGAAATTGATCAAACTTTCATACGAACTAACACTGCTGGATGTCGCTTTTGAGAAGCAAGAAATGCAGCTCGACGACGTAACTGGCTCACTCAATCCAATGCACGGATTTACCTGATCGCAGGGACAGTTCAGCTCGTCCGTGAGCGATGATCGTTCCGTCGTATTTGCGCTGTCGTTCGCTTTGCAGCCGTAATTCAAGTCGCATTCATCCGGACGCTTCGAGGCCTCGTCGTCGATGTTCATCAAGATGGGCAGACCTTCGAGCACGTAGCCCCGATGAAGTACCGTAGCCGAGTTTACGAGCGCGCAGATGCGTTTCCATACCTCCTTCTCCCTCGACAAGCAGCAGCGGTCGATTTCTCGGGCGATCTTGCTGGCCGAGACGAGCACGCAGTGCCTGTTGTACGCGATCGACTCGGCCAGTCGTAGCGTGTCCAGGCCCGGTTTTCCGAATAACACGTAGCACTCGGGTTTTGTCTCGAGATATCTCACTCGCGCCGCTTCTTCCGAGTAAGGCACGCCGCTCCAAGCCTCCTCCGCCACCGGCTGCACAGTCGACGACGATTTTGCGATAAAATCGCGCGGAACTTCTTGTCTCGGCGACTCGATATCGGCATTGTACGAGGAGAATTTGTAATTACTCGCCCGCGGCTCCGACAGGTTTCCTCGCACTTTGCGCCGATGATGACCTTTTATCAAGGGTAATAAGCTGTGCCTCGCGACGATTGACGTGTCGATTTTAATATTGGCTGTTTCGACGTTGTCCATGATTCCAGCGCACGTCGACTCCTTTTTTTCACGGCAGGATTTCACTTTTATTTGCACTTGAAAAATGGGTGCTGGAAAATTGTCGAGAGGTTACCCCGCCTTTACGAATTAAAGCTCACATGACTGATCGACAAGGTTAAGTTGCGATAATTTTGGAAACGTTCTATTGACATTATGATATTGTTTCTATGACGATGGTAATGAGACAAGTCCTAAGAATAATTGTAAAAAAATTTGTATTCTTTGTTGCAGGTAAGAAAATGTTATCAAAAAAATACTTATTCTCATTGGGATCAATGGTGCAGAAGGGAAAGTTTTCAGCGGCGGCCTGGCTCTTGGTCAGTACATTGAAGAACGTTGATTTTCCAACATTTGGAATACCGACGATGCCGACTTTCAGGTTCGTACCCACGCGTCCGATAAGTGGCTTCTTCTCTGGCTCTTCAACCTTTTTCGGTGCCATACTGGAAAGTACGAAACGATGTTATTGATAATTCAATTGAAATAAATCGGTCGCGCCGAATATTGTCTCGAAAAGTAAACGAAAAATTATAGTGAGCAGAAATACTTGCGTTGCACATCATACTTGCGTGATTTTAACATACAACGGACGGCCAGTAATGAGTGTATGCCTAATAAAATTTGATAATAGCAATTACTGAGAAACCGGACTAACATGTCGAATTAATCCAATTACGGGCGCAGTTTTGAAGCTTCTCTTCGTAGCTCGATGACGAGTCTCTTTAAAATTACGGTAAATAGGTACGTGTACATATATACGAAAATGCCCAAAGGCGCACCTACGCAATACACGTGCACATACGCTTGCACTACATATTCCGCAGTGTATAATACGTAATTGAAATAGCCTCCTCGGCTAGGCGCGTAAGAACACGAGAGCCGCCGCGTTTTCTTATTGCGCCTAGGTGTAACTTTTTTGTCGATGTCTCGTGTGCACGTGTCTTACGCTCGCGAGCTTTTCGGACAAACTCCGATCCGCGTATCGACATTTATCCCGCGGCTAGTTAATTATGGTAATCGATCGTAACAACTCACGACGCGAGAAAAGCGCTCTACTTGCGGCCCGTCGAATAGCCCCGTCATTTGTCGTCCCGCACATGCCCGATGGCGTATATCGTTGCGGCTATACGCGCGGCTGCAGAGGCTACACTGCCGCCGCCACCGACAACGATGTAGATTCTCGCGCGCGCGACACCCTTTTGGCATGTTTTTTTCTGTTTTCCATCTGCTGCCGCAGCCACCGCGCGAGCGTCTTCCTCTCCGTGCAAGTAGCGATTATTTTTCAACGACCGTGCGCGTCGTGCAAACGTCGTTTTCCGCGAAAGAAATCAAGATTCAATGAGAGAGTCGCCGCGCGCGCGCATCGAGTGCAATCGGATAAAGCAATAATCATGAGAGAGAGAGAGAGAGAGAGAGAGAGAGAGAGAGAGAGAGAGAGAGAGAGAGAGAGAGAGAGACCGTGCGGAGTGAAAACAGTAGTGAATTACAGAAAAGCCATGATACAAAGCGGTGGTTTTTCAAAGCCCATTACGACGAGGAGCAGCGCGTGCGGATTCATCAAGGGCTCTCTTTCTCTCTTTTTTCTCTCTCTCTCTCGCCGCGAGCCCGAGGCCGCCAATCCGTCCGTAGATGCATCTGCATCTCTTTACACCTCTCCTATTACACGGCGCGTAGTATAGACCGCCTTTTCTTAATCTCTCGCACAATATAGACGCCAAGGTATGTATTTTTCGTGCAGCGGTCTTTCCGATCGTTTTCTTTTTTTTCCGTTGTTTTATCTTGCTCACGGCCCCGCGTGATTGTAATACACCAAGCGTTCAATCTCGTATATGTATAAGAGATATAACTATTATACCGACGTTGGCAATAGAGCACACAAAAATTGCTATTTAACGAGATCCGTACGGAGCTGGAATTGCCGGCGCCACGAAGTTGCAGGCATTCGAACGCTTATAATTTGTAGGCATTGTTGAATATACGTAATGTACACTGTATTATTTAATTTTTTTCAAGTGCAAAACCGGAATTTAATCAGAAATTCGTACGGAAGTCGTAAAACGAAGGTATTTCGTCGAGTTTTGACATTTGAAAATTCGCGCCGCCAGCGCCGTAGCGAGGAACGTCGAGAGCCGCGAGCGGCGCTTGGCAGCGGTGCTCTTGCGTCTAAACCTAACCTCGACCCTCGCCGCAGCCAGTGCAATGTTTACGTGATATATTTCATGTTAAAACGGAAATTCACCAACTTCAATGCACTCTTATTCTAATTACTTGCAATTGATGACAGTGCGGGCATACAGCACGCTTGATGTATTACACCTTCACGCCATAATAATTGTATTCCACTCGTCCAGCCGGGCAACTATTCACACGCGACACGAGCGAATTATTCACTCCCGCAACAACCTCGAGAATTATCGTTAAGGAGCAATTAGATACCTGCTTGAATCTCCTTGTCAAATCGATGCACCAAACCCTGAATTCGAATTTTATATTCGATTGGATACTTGTCGCAACACACGCACCAGACGTCGAGCTGAGAACTCGTGCACTCGTGGTCGAGAGCAGTATATATCGCGCAGACGACTATAAATGTGCGGCCGAGCGGCGTGACGTCATAATTTCCAAAGTTTGTGCTCTTACGGCTGATTTAAATGTGCATGTGCGGCTTTCTCTATTTATATATTTCATATGGCTTTTTCTGGCTCTCGATTCTGCCTTATCGACTCGGTGTAAAATATTATAGTTTCGAAACTACCTAAATTGTCATCAAACTTGCGTTTTTATTAAAATGATGATTGAAAATTTACAAAATAATATTGGCTCCGTGATAACGAGAATTTTACATTTACTTAAAGCTATAAAATAAGCACAAAAAACCTGCGTTCAATTGAACACTTGATAGATTTTATAATGAAGTTTTGTATACACCGCGGACAAATAATAGAGCACAGTTTTGAATCGTAAATAGCAACGCACGCAAGGAGATACCTGAAAAATTGTTTCTGTCGATTTTATAACTCAAAATTCTCGTGTTGGCACTTGAATGACTATAGCTCAATCGCATAAGCAGATGTGCACCTTTGCTGCATCTTTTGCACATCCCTATATTCGAATATAATCTATACTAGCTAGCGACTACCGAGCGCCTGCAGTAATTCGATTTCAAGAATCGGCTCTAGTATATCCAATGCACACTTTCATCTCTGAGAAGAAATCGTTGAATTGATACAGGAGAAAAATCCTTCGAGCTTAATATCTAAGGAGGGGTGCCGCTCTTGGACTGCATGCTCGATGCACAACAAAACACACACATGCATGCACGCTTCCTCGGTGGCGCCAGCCAATCGCACCTATTTTTTCGTTTCCTTCTATTGAGGGAGAATAGCATCGGCTAAAGAATCGCCGAAAGGGCAATTTTGATATTAACTCAAAGTCCGTTTCCAGCTATATCTAAGGGGTCGGCGCGGCGATCTCTCGCGATATAGAGACCTTATATATACGCGTGTTCCCATGCACTTTTGTTTTGCGCAAAACATGCATGTATGCATGCGCGCGTGTATACGTATAAACACAACATACGATTTGTCGAGGCGATACGTACGTCGCCGAAAGAAGAAGAAGTCGCGACGCTGTGCCGAGACGATCGCGGCGGCGACCCGACGGCAAGCTCATACGTGAGGTTCACATATAGTAGACACGAGGCTCGTTGCCATTTATACACTGACGTCATACGGCGCTCGCTGCACGCAGACGGTATACTTTTCAGGGCGTACTTCGCGATAAACGCATTTTTGTAGGAAAGCCGCCTGCATTTTCTGAAATTAACACGCTGAGGAATGTGCTCTTGTGTACGTGAGAGCGTCTATTGTGTGTACTACCCGCATATAGGCAATGAGTTTTAGAAAACATCCTTTAGTCAAATTTGTATAAGCTAAAAATTATTTTCATATTTATTTAATGATAAAATGATTTTATCTTGAAAATATTGAGATTTAAAGTTTATTTGAGATCAATGAAAATGAATCTCTTTTTATGGTGAATTCAGTCGATAGACAAGATTTGTAGATAAGTGAAAATAATTTACAAGGTGCTAAAGTTGACAAAACTCGCTACACTTTCTTCGATAAAAAACACGAATAATGATAGTTTCAACGAATTTTTGCATATATATGAATTCGAAACAATCTGTCACTCTAACATTTGTTTATCCATTCTCTTTAGTTTACGAAATTTCTCAAGTATATGATGAGTATTCTGAATATTCAATCGTACAAAATTGATCGAAATAAATAATAGATTTACGGCATTGTTAAACAGTTTTTCCTTGTAATGCATATCATTTCGATTGTTCGACAGGTATAAGCAGCGTAAAGTTTTTCTTTCTTATGTACTGTATGATAACAAGCGACGGGGAGTCAGCCGGTAGCCGCTGCTGCAGCATCTAACGATCCTTCGATCTTTTAGCACAACACGAACATAACTAAGTAATATTTCCTTCGCGTCCAAGCGTCAGATTCTCACCTTAACTGTCTCACGCTCCAAAGCCAAAATGATGAATAGCTTGCGCGCGTGCATTTTCATAAGTGCGTAATATGTTTAGTAGCGAGTCTCGGCGTATTTACGATCGGTTAAATAATTTGACGTTTTATTGTCGAGCGATTTTAGCAGTACTTTGGCGCGCTGTACGTGAGAAATATGACGTAATGAGACTAAACAAGCCATGCGCATATGGTGTTGTAATTGTTTTGAGTCATGTACGCTTCGTGAGAGTTCCTTCCAATTTTATCGATCGCTATATTGCAGTTTATCAATTCATATTTGACCATTAATTTCGAGCAGCTTACACAATTATTTTAAAGCATTTTAATAACCCTGGCAAAAAGAATCAACATTTTATGGTTAGTTTATGGTCATCGAAAAAGTTTCTCACTTTATCACTAGCAAATGATGGAGGATTCAAGTGGCATTTCAAGTGTTTTTTTAGGTCATTTTTAGACCATTGTTAATGTTAAAGATTTCTACTAAGGAAGATTTTAACATTCCTTAATTATAATTTTATTATAGGAATTATTTCTTAATTAAAATAAAAATGAAAACCGATATTTCTTGTAGCATAATTGCTCTGAAGTAGTTATTGTGTGGTAAAATCAAAATAGCCGCAACTGATTTGAATACATTTTTTTTAAACATAATATTTTTTTAATTGTAACACTCACAACAGTTTTATAAAAAAATTTTATTTAAAAAAGGAGTAACAATTTTAACAAAATAACAATCAAAGGAATACGACTGTGTTTTTTATATACAAAATTAAAAACAACGCAATAAATTATCATTCTTAAATTTTACAATCCAGTGTAAAATTATGTAGGCATAAATATTTTACCCCAGAAAATGCACCTTAAATACCTCTGGATATTTAAATAAGTCCAGGGCCTTACAATAACAATTTATTTTTTCACGGGTCAGGAAGAATTAACTTCCAGTAAGAATCATTTAATCCCAGAATTAAACGCCCATTTGCAAAATAATTTAATTTTTCTTTTTTTCTGCATTTTAGTGAGCGCAAATTTTCTTCCACTTTCTTGATATTCTGTCCACATAAACAGAAAATGCAATAAGAAATGTTATTACATACTTTTCAACTAATATTAATATGCGTATTATAACTTAAAACCTTTTTAATCTATAATCATCGTTACAGGATGAAACATCCGTCGGAGAGATAGTTGACAGTAACGAGTATGTCATAGACGAGGAGGACGCTTTTTTTGATCGCCTTGACCATGGCAAAGTTTCAGAATTAGTTTTACAAATGTCGCTCACATTTCTCAAATTATTATTTAAAATCTGAAACGTAACATGAAACAATCAATATGCTGAAATTTTGTAAAAAAAATAGTTAATATTACGTTCTCAACATTTTCGCTGTGGTTATAAGTCGAACTTAGGTTTCTGAGTTTGAGTGTGCTGTGTTCATTTTTCAATTGCTCATAATTATGTTTCATTTCCTTCAACAGCTTCATGCTCTTCTCATTTAGATCTTTTAATTCGCCGATAGTAATGTTTTTGTCGATAATTTGAGCTTCTAGGTGAGTGATCTAAAAATTAATTCACCGTCATGATTTATCGCTGACAACTTAAAACTAGATCATGACATGCTTGGTATTTACACTTTTAATTATTACCTTAATCGACTGCTGCAAATTTTCATTTCTTAAATCTTCATTTAGATGTTGCTTATTGGATAACTGGTTCCAAATTGATAAAAGTTGCGAAGTCCTATCTACAAGGTCACTCATTATTGACTTTACATGTATCTGTAAATATGTAAAAAATGCTAATTAATTAAATTTCAAGGCGTTAATTAATATATGAATAAATCCTAAAAATGTATAGTTCGAGAAACTAACCTTTGTGGATGTTGCAGTAGAATCTTCTGATGATTTAATATCACAACAAGAGCAACTGTTATCTTCGCTCAAGAGATTAGATTCATTCATTGTGACCTTTGTGGAAGACCAACATGGCGATGCTTTAGGCTGCTGTAAATTAATTGCGAGTATTATTAAATTCCTAAATACTTTAAGCGGACAATAAATTACATACCTCTTTAAAGTTTTTTAAATGGGTACTCCACCTCCGGAAGTTATTATCAAAATTCAATTCATCTTTGGTCTCATGACCTTTCCTTATAATTTCATCTTCAGGGTTAATTGAAAAATCGCTCAAAAAGGTACACTTTGTAGCCACAGAATCACAATTCGACTTATATCGATAAACATGTAAAAAATTTTATTAATATTGTCATTATTATTTTTCTTATTGATACCAAAATTGTAAAAATGAGATTTTTTAAAAATATTATTCTTATTGAACCTACTTTTTCATTGAATGTACTATTGGGAGAGCACAAAAATAAAGATCTTAAACTTCGCAAACTCTGCAATTAAATAGAATTTTTTTATTAAATCATCTACGACGCATCTTTGAAAAGAAACTCACATTAGAAAAGCTATCGACACGTATGCTATTTTTGCAAAGCCTCCATTGGCGCTGAATTTTCCAACTCCAGAAAATACCGAACAGAAAGATGCTAGCAAAATATAGAATAACGATTGCGTAGAACATGGAGTAATCCTCGATGTACGACAGAACTTGACTATCCATAATTGAGCAGCTTGAAGTGTCTAATCGACGATTTCCAATGCGAAAGACAGCGTTATTATTCGTTGCCTATTTGACAGCGAATAGTATACAACTGATGTATAATTTCAGTAACGATCGAATAGGCCCTACATTTTCATTCATGATTCATCTAAATATTACGTTCACGAGTTCGACATTATATTTGTAAACATATATAGTATGTTTCGCTTCCGTCATACCGTATAAACACATGAGCTCCTCGAGATCAACAATACAATTCAACTTGTATAATATTTCCATGTTTTTTAGGGCTCATAAACGTAAAAAATATAGCTGATCTAAATCTAGCTTAGCGAACATTTATACCTTGATGCAGAGCTCTTTTCTTCAGACTGAGTCAAGTAGTCCGCGTACATCGCAAGCATAGGGAGTCACGCAAAAGGCGCGAATTAATTCGTTTGCGCTGCCATTGCAGAGGAGAGCCGACGAGGCAAAGAGTCTGACATGCACACGATGTGTACGATTGTGCTTGTGTAGGTATACGTATGTACGTGTGGAATGGTAATTGCGGGCGCTAATGAAAAGCGTACAGAAGCACGAACACAAGTCAGTAACCGAGAAAATTACAGAAATTATAAAATATATAGGTTCGATGAAATTGTAGTGCGGCGCGAGTTTTATAGAGTACATGTGCGTACGTACGTATACGTGTTTACCAACGTACAGATATGCGCGACGTTCGCACCTCCGTCGCGCGCCGATATACTTTTCTCTTTCGTGTACTCGAAAACAATTTCATTTTTGCGTCGATGCCTTGCCACACGATTTCATTGTATAAGTCCTCGAAACAAGTTTGGAGAAAAGTAAGCCGAAAACTTTGATTGATTCTTAAAGTCAGAAATATCACCTGCTGCTTCGGTGGTAAAGAAGTATAAATTGGTCCATGCTGGGCTATAATATATAATAAGAAAAAAAGTGGCGCATATGTGTTTGTGTATGTGTGCGAGCCAGACAAAAGGTGGGCATCGCCGCTGGCGCAAAAACAATTGTTATATTCGACTCGTATATAATATGCCCACGTTTGACTTTCGGAGTGCGCGCGCGCAAGGTGTAGAACGTCATCAACGCCGAAGTAAATATATGTCATTAGTTGAGAACCGAAGGAATGTGCGTACTACAAGAGCTACCGATATGTATGCACGGCTCTTTCACGCTAACCTTTCATAAACCCGCATCATTCGTTCGTTATAGCTGCGACGATTTGCGCATCGGAGGCAGTTAGAAACATCGTTTTGCCGTTGTGAACGATTTAACTGAAATTTTGTTTTACTCATTGTTTATAACCAGAACTATAGATACACAACCACTCCTGTTACAAATAAATTAAATACGAGTTTCATTGGTTGAGTGTGCATTAAATATTCAACGACGCGAATACTTCAACGTAAATATTATTACCACGATTGTTGGTAAGATATGCAGCCATAGTAGGAGGGCAAGCTCGATGTCTGTGCAAAAAAAATTTATTTAGTTATTAATTCAATGAGTGAGGCAAAAAGATGCTATTAGATCGACGCGAATCATTAAGCTGACGACTTTATTTCGAGAATATTGCACCAGATGGAAATTAAAATATTAATCATGAAAAAGATTAAAGTGTAGTAGGAGGGTAAACTTTAAAAATAAGTTTTTTCTTCGAGTACTTGAGAGTTCTCTGGTATCAAAAAATGTTTTATACAGCACGAGATACCGATCTAACTACAATTACTCGTATCCTTTCTTAATGTTTGCCTTAATTATCATAATATTTCCTCGCTGTTTTTTAGTATAAAGAGGCACGCTACCAACTAGCAAGTGAGAGAGGGAGAGATAATTTACCCCTCTATAACACGAATAGTAGGAAAAATCACGGCATGGCGTGTATACCAGTAGAAGGACGACTTGTACGCGACAACACCGTAAGATCGGTACTACGATCGTTTCGAGTTTACGGAATAGAACTAAAATGCATAGCACAGCAGACATGCACAAACAGAGGCATAGCCACGGTGGAACAAGAAAGAGAGAGAGAGAGAGAGAGAGAGAGAGCCGTGAAAGGAGTTGATGTATTACATTATATATTATACGGAGGTGCCATGGCGCGGCGGCAGCTCACGAAGGAGCCGTGTTGTGCCTGCACCGCGGAGAGGTAGACCACGCCTCCGTAGACAGCCGCCAGCCAACAATTAAGATTTGATCGGCAAAAATGGTCGAGGCAAAATGGCGCCACTCCTGAGACTCGAGAGATCGAGCTCCTGCACACTCCGTTTTACGTGCGCAACACTCGGGTGCATGTAATGGTCGCGAGCGCACCGCTGCCAAGCATCCGGAAACCGGTATTCATAGTCGATTTGATAGGAGACTCGCGATCGTACTATGCGCATCGCTCGGTTGACGTCGCGCTCAACATTTTGAAAGATTATCATCGATACGCATATAACACACAACAGACACACACGCACGTACGTGTGCAAACACTTGCACATTAAAGTATAGCAAGACTATACGTGCACACGCAGAAGGGACGTGGGGTTTTTTTTTTCACGCAACAGCCGTAGCGAGTCTCTAGCTGAGCTCGTCATTTGCATATTATAAGTGCGCGCAGTTTTGAAAGCAACGCAAAAGTTGCTCTCTTGGTTACCCCTTTTTTCTCTACAATTTTATATTGCGTAGCACGAGAGTCCATGCCACACGATGGCTTTTTCTTCTCTCTTTATTTCTCTCTTCGCGGCCTGCAGAAGGCTTATCGCCGAGCGATTGGGTGCACGAGTAGCCTGGTAGCAAAAAAAAATGTACGATCGACCATTAAACAGAATGATGGAAAAAAAGTGCAACAGCAGCCGCAATGCGAGCGCAGCGCGGAATATCGGTGAATGCGAGAGTCAAAAAATTATAGTGATCGAGGCAAACGGTGGTCGGAAACTCGTCGAGAAAGAGAGAGAGAGAGAGAAAGAGCGAGAGAGAGAACATATCTGGCCATATTAATTGTCCGTAATTTTGCAAGCGCAACTCGATACGGATTTTTACCTTTTTCGACGATATGCAGTGAGCTGCGTTATCCGTACGCTGATCTAAGCATGCAAACGGTATATAAAACGTTTTCATAAATATAGCCTTGTTCAATCATTTTACATTATGCACAGCTCGCTCGAGCCCGAGCTCGAGTAATGTTCAGTCTCCGCGACTCTCTTTCTCTCGAATATATAAGAGAGCAGCATTATATGGCTTTCCTTGAACGTGGAAATGTCGAAATTATTGATTTCAACGACCAATTCGAATACGTGTGGTGCAGCTACTATTCGAGGCCATAGCGATTATCACTCAACGTACATACGAACTTTTTAAATTCTTTTTTTTTTCATAATAATTCCACTCTTTAATGTCAAAGCATTTCATGCTAGGTAGCAAGTTTTACGAACTAACGCCTGAATGTTGACAACTGCTTCCACGCCTCTGTAACGACTAGCTACGTAGGAGGATTTTGGAATTAAATAATAATCGTAATTTATACAAAGTATCATAAATTACGAAAATGTCTATTTGCGATTCAAAATATTCCATCTCTATAATAAATCGTTTTCGCAGTACAATATTATTATGACTTATTTTGGAGAATAGGCAGACTCAAAGAAAACACTTACTGGGTCTATTTATGTTGATGCTAAAAATTGGTACTCGTAAAACTCAAATAAAATCGATTTGATCATCCATAATTCCTATATTAACCACTTCTTTTATAAATAGATTTAGAAGATGCCTATAATACTATTTAAATAATGCTGTGATATTTTTCATGGAGTCATTTGCGGTATTTCTCAAATGCTTGCTTTGACTCAAACAATTATTTTACTTTTCCGCTTGCAGATTTAAAAATAAAAGATTAACTAATCGATAAAAAAACGATGATGAGATTGACCGTATTTTGACTTAAAACGTTATTTTTACTTTGTCACTTGCAGATTTAAAGGCAATGGTACTCGCCATCTAGTGGTAGATGCGGGTTTTATTCATGATTGAATTTTCATACACTTTTTGACTAATTTCAATCAAAATCTTCGAATTTCTGTATAACATTAAACATTTTTCGTTTCTTTTTTCATTAAAAATTATGCGATTATACTTTTATGAATTTTTTTGCAGTATGTTTAAAAAAAATCAGTTTTCATAACTCAATTTTTAACGATCAATTTTTAGATTTTTTCGAGAAAGTATCTCGAGTAATATTAACGTATTATTTAACATTTTATATGCATTGAACGAAATGTATAGTTAATGTTATTAATATCGACCAATGTGTCGAGTCATAAACTCATTATCCTAATGTTATTTGAATTTTCAATACTGTGCGTGCAACTGTAATGTTAAGATAATGGAAGAAAAGTACAGATACATACCATTGAAAAATGAATCATAATGGGTGTGTCAATAATTATCTTACGTACATTATGCAGCTTTTGTTTCCCTGAACATTGAAGTGAGAATTTCAACATGATTTAGTAATAACAGTCGTATCAAACCGAACTGTAACGTTATTCATTATTTCGTTAATACCAAGTGTCCTTGAATGATTTACAAGTAATTCGCGTAGTCGAGAATTATCGTTTCAAACTCGTTTAAAATTTTCAATCTTTAGCAGTAAAAAGCGAGAATAAATGTAGCTGATGCTTTTCTTAAATCGCATTAACGGAGCTCATATCAATTCTCGTGATTCTATGTAATAGAAAAGGTATATTAACGTTCGCAATTAAGTATATGAAAATTGTTCTCTTGCACATGACTGCCATTAAAACCTTGCGCGATTCGCAAGTGTTTTAACGAAGTACGGCGATAAAAAGTCTTCAAATGACACGGCTCTTGACTTTCTCTACGCTTAAAATACGTCAGGCTGCATTTCAAGAGCGAGGAAATGACCAAGCTTCGAGGCAGTATAGCCAGCCAAAGCTAAAACGCTTTCGAAACAAACACGTATATTTGCCCCTTTAATACACTATATAACGCCGCTCTATTGCTGCCGAGGCTACGCATTATTTTGCTCTTAGGCGGTAATAATACGACTGTCTTGC